GAGGGATTCTGAGAAAGCCTATCTTTTTAGAGTTTGTAGCTCCAGTGATGGAGCCAACGTGACTGTTGCATCCCAAGGTTCAAAGATTAGCCCAGGCCAAAGGCACAGCACACATTGATTAAATACCAATTTTCATGTACCTGCTCGCCTCACCATCTCACCCCTCCGTGCAGTCGTACAAAAGCAGCTGCAACTTTTAACCGTCGCCCGTCTGTTGGCGTTTTAACAGCCGCTTACGTAAGGGGGAGGAGTCGATCGGACCCCCGCGGCCTCTCGGACTCTGAGATGGAGCTGTGCATAAAAAAGACGAGCGTGCTACCCGTGACAATAGGAAGCCGCTGCTGCCCATTTTTAAGGTCCTTGGTCATTCCGTCTCATTCAAGAGGGTAATGACAAGTGTCGAGAAAATCGGGACCCGCTATAACTTCTTGAAGTGAGATTTTATGGCTCAAGATGATCTCCAGAAAAAGCTCATAAGCCAACGGTCATTATGGGTCCAGAGGCCACTTTCACCAACAGAAAAATAGCCGCCTGCCGGAATTTTTTGCCTAAAGATCGTTTCACATATGGAGCGTAAACGGTAAAGCCCTATCCGCTTACGAGCCCATCGCGCTTACATCGCGATACACAAATACCCAAAGAGTTCCAGGACGGTATGGAATTTCAGTAAACTTGGTTGTGTCAGCAATGGGGTCTGGTAGGTGGGGGTATAATGGCCCTGCCTGGCGCCCAAAAAGGGGGCACGACCCCGAATGACCTGCCGACCACTGCTCTATATAGGTACATCTGAAGGACCCACACCGACACCTCTGAGGGCCCCACACCGGTATCTCCGAGCTCTGAAGGCCCCACACCGGTGACTGAGGACTCACCGGCTCCTGAGGGCACCATGTTGATGTCTAACGGCTCCCCTCAAGGCCACTGAAGGCACTACACTGTACACAAGCTCTCACTTAGCTCTAATGTCCATGTACCGGCCTCTGAGGGATTTAAGCCAGCGCATTCATAGCTCCACACCAGCAATTGTAAGGGCTTCACACTGAAGTATCTGAGGGTTCCACACCGGTGTCTCTAAGGGCCACATACCGGCATCTCTGAGGGCCCCATACCGGCGTCTCCGAGGGTCCACATCTGGCAGGCACCCATCAGCGACTGAAGGTCCCACACTGTCGACTCCGAGAGCCCCATCTGCGTCTGGGAGCACCATGCCGTCTCTAAGAACCACAGCGGCTCCTCCGTACGAAAGATGGGCGTCTGCATGCCAAAAGGGAGCGGTTCTGAGACAGTAGGGCACCTACGTGCAATAGAGGGGCGCCTATGATGCCCATAGAGGCGCCTCAATGCGAAAGAGGGGCGCCAGTGAGGCCTACATATATGGGTGTCCACATGCAATAGGGGTCTGCAATGTAATTGATCAATGCCGGTCCCATAGCTCAGTTGGTTAGAGCGTTGGACTCCGCGTGGTGAGAGCACGCGTTCCCGGTTATGACAGTCCGGGTTCGAAGCGCGACGGGCGCTCGACATTTATGGGCCTCCTGACAGGTATGGTTGCGGTTGGTGGCAGGCCGTAGCCAGGCGAAGTCAGCGAGGGGACCGGCCGTGCGCGCAGGCGCGTAACCACAAGTCTGAAGTTACTGGGGACCACATGGAGGGCCGTGAAGACCAAACATTAAGTTTCAGGATCAGTCTTCGCCCGATTGGGGGGGGGGGGAGAGGGTGGGAGACGTTTTTGGCCACGCCTGCCAGTTGTTTGCGCTTTAAGGAAAACCGCGGCGCGCACCGCCGCGAAACTTGGTATAGCTTATGATACCTCATTTTCGCATCGTGTGTGAAAATTTGGACACCAGGTCACCTAAGGTCAGGTCAACAGGTCAAGTAAAGTAACCATGCCTCTCTAAAAACTTTGTGACTGTGCCATTCCTACAGTTTACATCTCAGAAGTTTGAAACTCGAGCTTTTGCATGAGAAAATCAGTATGAACAATTCGTATGCCTTTAAGTTTTCACCTCGGTGACCTAATGTCAGGTCAGTTTTGCGACTTCTCCATTATAAGTCGTTGGGAGAAAATTGAAATGCTCTTCTTTTGGCCGAAAACAAATTCAAACACCGCGACACAGGTAAACATGATACACTGAACTGGAAAATTGCACCAGTAACCCCTTTAATTCCCCAATTCCCCTGAGGTCATCTCAGGTCAGAAACATCTCCAACAGTTTTTTTTTACCATACTTAAGGTATAAACATGCTAGGGCGCTGAAAACACCATGGATGTGTTCAGCTCAACAATACCAATCGAATGACATGCAACATGACCTTTTCCGTGACCTTGACTAGGGATCAAATTTTCCAGTTGACCTTTTCAGGTCAACTTATAGACGCGTCTCGACGACTGACGAGACAAACGCGATGACGGTCAAACCAGCGTCATACAAGTTTTGAGTCAAAAGTTTTTATACAAAAACCTTTTTCGCAAAAACGCCAACCTGGAAGCCAAACCGTTGACCTCAGGTCAAATCTGAGAACATTACTCAGAAAGGCCTTTGAAAGAGCTATCGAATGTACTTTCCCGCAGGCAGCACTGCATCTCTATTGGTTCCTGACTCATGCGCCGATTTGTAAAAAGTTGTTGAAATTGAGGACAAAAGTTTGTGAAAGTTTTACCTTTGGTGACCTCCAGTGACCTCAGCGATGACCTGATCAAAAATGACATAGATAATTTTTTAAGATACTGTAGCGAGCTATCTGTTGCTTTTTACCGCATCTTTCTAGCTTGCTTACTTTCCGAGATAATCTGATGTGGCCAAAAAGTTGACCCACCATGGCGAAGTTGACTGAGAGGCCCACCCGGACGCTGGCTAAACAAAACATCCATAGTGTTGTCTTTCGTTGACTACATAGATATTACTATTCACGTCGCTTTAGAGACAATATTTGGCTATTTAAGCAAATTGAGAAGTTCGTCGGTGTTACTGGGGACGGTCCCCAGTAACCCAAAAGTTACTGGGGACCGGTCCCCAGTGTCCCCAGTGGTGGTTACGCGCCTGCGTGCGCGGCTTTGTGCGCACGTTAAACTTTGGACTCCAAATTCTGCCATAGAATCGGAATTGCGCGATCGGAGGGTAGAGGGCAGGGTCATCGCAACAAGCTTCGCTTAGCGGTGGCTCTGTCCTTGTGAATCCTTCCCATCAAAAGGTTCGGACTAAATTAAAAAAAAAAATGCCATGGGGGCGTATTCATAACAAACAGGGGCGCCGGCATGGCAAAGAGAGGCGCCTTCAGGCTTCAAGTGTCCATAAAAGAGAGACGCCTATGATAAGCGCACATTGTATGCGACTGTGGGACATATAGGGATGTCTCTGATGACTATACATAGGGCGCTTATATGCCAAAGAGGGCGCCTATGAAGCTAATGGTGGCACCTGGGGAACGAGGAAGACATTTGTGTAAGGGTTTTCAGGGGTCATGCGCCGTTTGCGGCAAATAGATTCTAAAAAAATCGGAGGGGGAATAAGTTTTAAAAATGGTGCGGACTTTCCGCTCTGTTCGCTTAAGCGGTTACGCCCCTGGGTACATCTGCCCGATCTCAGAAGCTAGATTTGGAGGTCATACCTACTTGAAAGCAGCCAGCAGGACGAGGCAAAAGTTGGAGGCCCCTGAAAATAGGAGGCCCCCTGGAAAAGGAGGCCCCTTGACAGGGTGGCCCACCCACTTTTCATGACGTTCCTACGCCCGTGGGTGTGGCCAAATACGCCCCCCTCCCCTATACCATGGTGAAGTTGGCTGAGAGGCCCACCCGGGAGCGGGTTAAACACGGCAAAATTTCATTCGTTCGCGCTAAAAAAATGTTATGCTTTTCTGCATATTCACACGAAGCGAAACGATGGTGGCGAAAACGAGATCATGATTATGTTGTGTTGTTGTGTCGTGTTCTGTAATAAAGCGAAAAACATCCCCAACAAAATTCAGGGTCGTACTGAGGAAGCTCATTATCAGTAGAAGCCACACCTGCCAATTTCCTGACCACTCGCCTGGTGTCCCGGTGACACCCTTGTGTGTTGTCTTGTGGTCGTTAGGGCAGCGTGGGAGCGCTCGGCGAGTGCCGTTCCGGCGGGGACAGGGGTCAGTCAGTTGAGAGCGGGCGGCTGGCCAGGCAGGCTCCGCCACTGCTGCGCCATGGTCCGGGTCGGCGGACCACCGCGGGCCCGCGGCACCGGCCGGTCCTGCGGGCCGCTGCTGCCACTGCTGCTGCTGCTGCTGATTACCGACCCAGGTCAGGCGCCTGTATTCGTCTATCAGATGTATAGGAGACATAAGCTAAATAAACACTTAACATAGTGTTAAATCAGCATTACATATTGCACATATAGCTGTCCGCAAATAGAACGAAATATGATTTTGCTATCGTAAATAAATATGTTCAGTTTCTTTACGTTCCTATGACATTTTTAAGCGATACAAATGCATGCATGGCAGCATATGTGAAAGATTCGTAGTCGTACCAAAACGGGCAATCTCGGGTCAAGATGCAACCACAAAACCGCTGGTTCGCGGCTTTAGCGTAATCGTAACCGTAATCGCAAACGAAACGAAATGCGATTGCGATATGTGAAAGCATAGTGTAATCGTATTACGCTATGACTTCCAGTTTGGTTTCGTGGTATGAAAAGGCACCCCAAAGAAAGTTTGAATTCGGATCCTTGGCCGAATTCGGACAAGCCGTAAACGGCGATATAAAGTCGTCAAATACCTTTTTGCGGGCGGTCTTTTTGTAAGAACTTTTGAAATAATGGTTGTTTGTTATCAATTTTACAGTCATCGCGTTTCTGTTATCAAAACTCGTTGAATGAAAATGCGTTAAGTGTTTTTACATATGCTTTTCAATCTGCCATGAAGAGCTTAGGTATCTTAACATTTTGCCCTAGGATCAAGGAAATGACCTCGTGAGAAAGGGTAGTAATGATTAGGTATAACATTAAAAGGTCACGCTCACGTTCACGATCATGTCCGACCACCGTTTTGTTCCAGGCAAGGTGGCTGTGCTCCGCACTCCGCACTGCGTTTCAACCGTCAGTAACTGTACTGTTCACTGTGTTTCACCCGTCAGCATCTGTGCTCTGCACGCACTCTGCAGTCCACACTGTGGTCCGTCAGCTAATTGTGTTGTTCACTGAGTTTCCGCCGTCAGTAACCGCTATTCATTGCGTTCCAGCCGGCAGCCTGGTTCCCAGTCCGTTCTGTCCGACCGGCTATCAGCGGCGCGGCTCCACCTGCTATGCCTACAACACCAGCGGTCGCACCTTCACAAACACAAAGAGCTACTGCTCCGGTCTGGCCAGCGGTGACATGGCGGCCACAAGAGACTCGGTAAATACACAGGCAGTGATTCAGAAACTGTGGTATATGTGCAAAAGTATTTTTGTATGCAGGGGAAGTTGGGGGAACGCCGAATACTTTTTTTCTGACGTCCGTAGCACGCAAGGTAGACAACATAAGCTATTCTTGTTGGCATCATTCGAGAGGCCAGTCTTTTGCCTTTCAAACATACCAGGCGCATTTGATGAATTCGCATACCGTTAAGCGCACAAACTAAAAATATCAAAGAAGTGACTTTTTCGGCGTTGCCCCGGACTGCGGGGAAAGCCGAAAATGGGAGAAATCATCTACGGGAATGCCGAAATTGATGTTTTGCTATTTTATCTCAAATTTTATCCAGAATTCGTCAAAGCTGACAGTTGACACGCGTTTTAAGAGCTTGAGGACGCTTGGTGCACACTGGAAGTTATCATTGTGTGATATAATAAGAAAAGGCCAGGTAAATCATTCATTATGGTAACAGGCCGTTGTGTCGGTTAAAAGTGTAATTTGTGTGACTAAAAATACGCGTTGCTATTCTACAGCGGTAAAGTTCACGTAGCATGCTTTAACGCGCGTAATTGCACGTTTTCGGCATTACCCCAGCCAGCCATACTTTCATTTGCAGGCCCATAACTTTTCAACGTGCTGCATAAATTTCAAATAGGCAGCACACTTATGCAAAGACGTGCTGAAGATTACTTGACCGAATTGGCCAGACAAACGGTAGCATAATGAGTAGGAAATGCAGCTTCGAAGACGCATGTAGTACAAAGGAAACGTACCTTGAAAACGCTCTTGGCGCCCTCACAGCCGAAGTATTCCGAATGACGACTGGTAACAAACATGCGATAATTGGTAGTCACTTAAGCTTCAGAGCATCACTGACAGGTGGCATCCATGTCGTAGGGTTTTCGAAATATCTCGAATTTCGGCTTTGCCCCGACCCCGGCATTGCCCCAACTTCCCCTATGCCATGCCACTAAATCACCAATGTATTATAACATTATCTGCAGAGCGATTTCGACCGATATTTTTCAAATAGCGCCAGAGTGTCATAAGTAAGAATTGGCTTTTGGGTAGAATTCGAATTGTCTTTCTGACCGAAAGGGCGATGTTGATATCTTAGGTAGGCCTAATGACACATTGTTTTCCTTATTATATACCTTAATCTTCTTTTACACATATAGCTATTGTTTCAGATCACGTGGTCAGATATTCGATATCTTTTGCGTAGTGTACCTAACTGTGGTTATGCTACATTAGCCCTCGAACATATTACCATTTTCACAGCAGCCAATGGGTGGGGGGGGGGGGGGGGGCGAGGTCTATCAGACTCCCTTCCCCAGCCCTTCGGCCCCAGACTGAGCTAGAGCATTGCGGAAGTGCGATACTCGAACGTATGGCGAACTTTGACTCCGGTTCCATTCTCCCATTGGTGCACAGACTGAGCTGGATGCGTTCTCCGAGATCACGGGCGGCGCAGCAGTCTGGCTGGGCGGTAAAGCTGCTTCAGTAGGTGAGTATAGGTGTAATTCCTATTACCGTGAGTTAGTGCGTCCGTCAAGAAAGTGCGTCCGTCAAGACTCAAGAAACATGGTTTATTGCATCTGATTGTGCCTGATGCATGCATGCTTTCAGGTCGAGTTCCGGACGTCAGACACCGTGCGACCTTGCGTCGTTCTTGGTGCACAGTCCATACAGATGATGCAGTCCCTACTTATCTGATACCTTTGAATCAAAATATAACAGCTTACACACACATTTTTTATATACCTACCCACTTAATATCTACACCTACTTTTTATTTACCAACCTATATTTAATATTTACATCAATCTTTTCAATATGAAAACGCCAACACACTAACTCAAAATTTGCCAACTCACCTGGCGTGTACCTACCTGCGCTCTGCATTCAATTACTTCGTTGCACCTTATCTGATCTGAAGGTGTCAGATTTCGTCAGCAGCATGCGCTATGCCTGCCTGTTCACAGATGCGCCCATGCAGTGGCATCCGCTGAAGTCGACCCTCGCAGGAGTTAACGCGCTCACTAACGGACCTATCTCTGAATGGGCTAACTCGACGATGCTACCGAGACAGTCTGGCTACGACTGTTTGTCGCTGCCGAGCCTCACTCCAGCCTCGTGCAGCACCAACAAACGAGCGCTGTGCGTCAAGGCGGCAGGTAAGGTGATCCCGCGCGGCTCAGGGTATACTGAGTCAGGCTTCCAGCATCGCAGCTTAGTCACAGTCCAGGCACACATCAGTCACAACACGGAATAAAGTATAAGACACTGTAGTTTGTTACATCAGGGGCACTTAACGTATGCTAGGGCACTTAACTATTATCAATAAGTACAAATGTCACGACTATAAAGTTCGATAGCACAGCACAATCAAAGTATAGCATAGTTTAGGTTAGTCTTGTTTTCAACACCGGATAGTTTTTCTACATTAGCTGTACAATTACGTGCTTTACAGTTTTCTTCCTTATTTTTCTTACCTACCCGTTTGAAAATAAGGAACCAGTATAACGTCTTTTGGGGCGACTAACGGAGCGAGCGAAAGGGTGAGCCTTGCACGTGCGAAATTTCGAGGGGGTACCTCCAACTGACTTGTGCACGGCACCCTACTAACCGGTCTCTAGCGATGTGCCAAATTTGAGCACAATCGGCCCAGCCGTTCTCGAGATCTGGGAGCGGCACCCTGCACGTGCGCACGTGCAAAATGGGTCCCATCTGAGTTGTGCACGGCACCCTACTAACTGGTCCCTAACCGTGTACCAAATTTGAGCGCCATCGGTCCAGCCGTTCTCGAGATCTGGAAACGACCCCTGCACGTGCGCACGTGCAGCAGCACCCCAACTCTGGCACGTGGATATGCAGTGCCTAGTGGGTGCCTACCTACATGCCAACTTTCAGCGCAATCGGCCAAGTAGTTACCGAAATATTGCAACAATTACAAAACTGACACCTTTTCGTTTTGCACGTGGCACGTGCATAAGGGGTCACCCACGTGCATCGGGAATAGTCCAATACTTGGTAGAAGGAATGAAGCTACCCTACAAAAATTACCGCGTGTAAATCGGTCAAGTGGTTGCTGAGATATAAGCCTCGCAAAAGCGTCCGCACGGCCGGCCGGCCGGTCGGCCGGCCGCTCATACTCAGAAATTTCCGTTAATCTAAGGAAAGACTCCGCTCGCTTCGCTCGCTCCGTAATCACCAGTATAACGCCTTTTGGGGCGACTAACGGAGCGAGCGAGAGGGTGAGCCTTGCACGTGCGAAATTTCGAGGGGGTACCTCCAGCTGACTTGTGCACGGCACCCTACTAACCGGTCTCTAGCGATGTGCCAAATTTGAGCACAATCGGCCCAGCCGTTCTCGAGATCTGGAAGCGGCACCCTGCACGTGCGCACGTGCAAAATGGGTCCCAACTGACTTTTGCACTGCACCATACTAACCGGTCCCTAACCATGTACCAAATTTGAGCGCCATCGGTCCAGCCGTTCTCGAGATCTGGAATCGACCCCTGCACGTGCGCACGTGCAGCAGCACCCCAACTCTGGCACATGGATATGCATTGCCTAGTGGGTGCCTAGCTACATGCCAACTTTCAGCGCAATCGGCCAAGTAGTTACCGAGATATTGCAACAATAACAAAAGTGACACCTCTTCGTTTTGCACGTGGCACGTGCATAAGGGGTCATCCACATGCATCGGGAATAGTCCAATACTTGGTAGAAGGAATGAAGCTACCCTACAAAAATTACCGCATGTAAATCGGTCAAGTGGTTGCTGAGATATAAGCCTCGCAAAAGCGTGACCACGGCCGGCCGGCCGGCCGCTCATACTCAGAAATTTCCGTTAATCTAAGGAAAGACTACGCTCGCTTCGCTCGCTCCGTAATTATAAGTATTTCTATAGGATTCTAAGTATTCAAGTACTTCAATAGAAAGTCGACAATATTTGGTAAGAGCTGTTTTTTTTATTTGAACATTAAATAATGTTACTTTGAAGTTATTTTCACCTGCGACTGAGCTGCGTTCAGTGGGTGCCGTCTACTGAGCTATTTTCGGTGGATATCGTTAAGCTCCGAGGGCTGCTCCATCCACTGACCTATGCGTTCGGCGGGGCCGCCAGACGCCGGCTGCCCGGCCGGTTTCCTGCGCTCGGGCTCGGCCTGTGTGTACGCCTCCATGGCGCCGGCGACGTTCTCGGCGGCACGCGCCTCGTGCGCCAGTCTGACGTCGGAGCTGTACGAGCCGCGCGAGCCGGGTCTGATGCTGCACGTGCGGAGTCTGGTGGCGACGATCAACAGCGGCGACCACTGGATCGGACTCCAGGAGAAGGTGAGCGCGCCGTGCAGACTTGCAGGTGCCAAGAGCGAGCTCTGCTGCCGCATTGTCCGTACAAAAAAAGCAAAGAAAAAATCCTACAAAATATTTCTGTTCCTGTGCAGGAATACAGTCAGGCAAACGTGCGATAGCCTATTTCAAAATAAACAAAACGAATAAAAATGGTACAAATAACCGAAACTATAATTTTTATGGTTTCAGAGATTCAGAACGAATCTCCGTTCATCTTATTTATGCTTCAAAGCTCATGTTGAGCATTATATCTAAATTCTTCCCTGCCCGTCCCGTCCTTTGCCGCAGTACCCGGGCGACTTCCGGTTCGTCTCGGACCACAGCTCGCCCCTGTTCTCGTTCTTCGACGAGTCGTCGGGCGTCGGTCCGATAAGCGACGGTAGTTCCTCCGGACCGTGTGTGAAGATGGCTGCCAACGGTCAGCTCGGGTCGTCCGACTGCGATGACCAGAAACACTTCATCTGCCTCTACAAGCCAAGTAAGACAAAAATCACCGACAGACCCCGTATTATGTCTGAATAACCCGTCCACATCATTGCGTTTCCGGGGTTTAGAACATGTCCCGGCCACTTTTAACACCGTTAATATTCTCAATTTCGACATTACGTACTACAGCCTCAACAGGAAATAGGCAACTATGGTTACAAAATATTAGGTATCTATGCTGACCGCTAGTCGTTTTCATTTCTACTTATTTATTTGCGTTGGGGCTGCACGGACCAATTATTTATTCAGGTACGATTGATTTAACCCTAAAGGAAATTTGTGCCAAATTTTAAACAGTTGTTTAATTGCGCCAGCATGAAACTGCCACCGGCATGTCATTTGCTTCCACATACCAATCACTTGTTGAAGCGCCAATGCAACTCCGTCGATTTAATTATACTAAACCCTAACCTCCCGTAATCTATCTCACATTTGATGCCTGCTCTAGGACCTCTGTGCCCGGCCGGGTTCGTCTCATTCGGAGAGACGTCGGACTGCTTCTACCACATGGTGGGCTCGGTGGAGCGGAGTGGCGCACAGGCGCGCTGCGCTGCGCTCGGTGCCGCGCTCGGAGAGATCCGAGAGACGGACACGCTGAACAGCTTCCGCACTTGGCACGGCAACACTGCCAGCCGTCTATGGACCGGTGTCACCGACCTGGGCGAGGTGAGCTCAGGAGATTTCGATGTTACTGCTGAAGTTGTTACACAGTTGGGTACAGCTTTGTGGTAATAATTTTGAACACAATAAACATCTTTTGATCTTTCCAATCCCCCACACGTTCCATTATTCAACGATTTGTGACGGATAATGTATGGATAAGCCATCACCTTCGGCTTATACATGTGCGAAACTTACATGTCTGCCGGCAGAACAACAAGTTCACGACGTCCGACGGTCTGGTTCCAACCCTGCTGCCGTGGGGTACCGGTCAGGGCGGCGACACCTCTCTGGGATGCACCTCTCTGGACAGGAACGTGGTGGCCGACTCAACCTGCGAGAGCAGCGCCGCCGACGGCTACCTGTGCGTCCACTCTCCAGGTGCGTACAGAGTGCGGTGAATCCTTGTGTTGGGATTAGAGTCGGGGCGTATAGCCTGACCGGCGGTGTCGTCTTCAGCACATATAAAACACCGTCCAGACGCTCTGTGTTCTTTGTTGTTGTTCTGTCTGTGTTCTGTGTTCTGTGTTCTGTGACGTTCTGTGTTCTGTGCGTTGACTATAGCATTTCTGATGTGGCAATCCTGATAGGCTTGTTGAGAAAGGTGTGAACCTGAGACGTTTTGTCCGTTGTCTGCAGCGGTCGGCCACTGCCCGTCGGGGTTCCTGGAGCTGGAGGGCCGCTGTTACCGCTTCTCTCCTACCGCGGCTACCTACGCGGCGGCCACCGGCGAGTGCCAGAAGCTGTCCTCGTCCCTGGCGACCATAGACTCAGCCGAAACGGCGGTAAGACCGGGAGTGGATGGGGGGGGGGGGGGGACGGTGTCAGTTGGGGGCCTAACTGGGTATAGATAAACTGATAGACGTGAAGAAACGCCGGCAGTAAGATCCGATCAAGCAAGATCCGTGGCTACTTAAATTGGTATTTTCACAACAAAGCACGATTAGCTGAACGTATCAAAATCATTATGTAATATGTATTTACTTCTAATCCTGCTCTCCCGATGTTCTATTAGAACATTGCTGTAGTAGGTTATGTCAACAAAATCTAATGAGTGATAGTGCCGCATGCATTGCTGGCTGATCGTGGCGCGTCCTGTTGCAGCTTCTGCTCTCATCCATTGAGTTGTGGGACAAGCCGTCATTCAGCTGGTTCGTCGGGCTGAAGCTCAACGCCGACACCGGTGTTTGGCAAAACTACGACCAGTCGACTCCCAATTCTGTAAGACATTATTTTCGTCAGCTTAAGCTGACGAAAATAATAAAAAAGCAACTTTTGCGAGGATTATGACCATCCGACGCAATTGCGTCGGGTTACGCAACTTTTGCGAGGATTATGACCATCCGACGCAATTGCGTCGGATGGTCATAATCAAGATACCTATAAGAAACAGGTAGATCCGATGTTTGAAAGTAAAGCCCCAGTCACAAATTTGACGCACCTTTGACATTTCCTGACACCCACGTGACTATTGTATAAACTTTTGTGTTTTGCGATGTTTTGACCTTATTTAAAGTACTGAAAGCTCAAAATGAATGATTATTGTTGTTTAAAGCAGCATATTAATAATTATGTTTGTAAATTATCGATAAGCTGCTTATAGCAGGTCACGTGATTGCTACCAGATTATGTGCTCAGAAAGCATCTTTTCAACTTCGATTTTGAACAATTTTTACCTCCTTTGAGGCCAAATGATGGACGGTTTGAGGCACACGATGAAATGCTGAATCTATTGATGCCAAAATTTGTTCGTTTTTTTGCATTTTTAGACTAGTATATCCTGGCTCAAACTTTGACCAGTTTGTGTGTAAACCCTATGGTGAAGGGAAAACTTCACGCCCAGCAGACGTCTTTACAGTGCTGCCAAATCGTGTTTGGTGGGGGTCGGTCATAATCCTCGCAAAAGTTGCTTTTTTATCCTTTCTCCTGTTCGAATTTTTTGAACCACTGTCACGCTTAGCGTTATCAGTGACAGTTTTTTCCTCTGTATCGTTGCTGGTTTAACCCGCGCGGGGCTGGGGTCTCCAGCCGAACGCGCGGGGCTTTGGGGGGGGGGGGGGGGTAAATTTTACCCCCCCCTGTTATCTCCCGAACTAATGGTCCGATTTGGAAAATTCAAGCGGCAATCGAAAGCTCTCATCGCGAACTACTAAAAACATGTACTTAATTTTAAGTTTAAGGTCAAGGTCAAGGTCAGGTCAAGGGTACAAATTGCAAGTTTCTACACTATCGGCCTTGCACCGTAGTTGCCGAAGAATGGAGTCATGGACTGAGACTGATCGCCCAAAACGTGTTCTTAGGCTACCAAGACAATATTCGTTGCATACAATATCATTCAGAGGTCAAGGTCAAGGTCAGGTCAGGTCAGGTCAGGTCACCAAAAAACAAAATATAGAAAAGGGCATATGCGACACATGTTTTATGGGTCATTTTACTCATAGAATTCAATAGGCACACTCAATAAGTGACATGGACCACCTCTGGATGAATTTCAGGTCGAGGTCAGGTCAAGGTCAGGTCAAGTGAGGTCAAATTTTGAAGTTGGTTGTTAAGGCCTAAAAAGGTGTCTATCTGATGCAGTTTTTCACGGCGAATCGAATGGTGCTATTTTTGTTTCCGTACGAAGTCTAGAACTTCCAAAAAAGTCATTTTTCAAAAAATTTGTGTGTCGTGACGTCATAAAATTTTGAATAACTCCCACATTTTTGAACCGATTCTTCTAAAAGTTGGTATGTAGGTGCACATAGACCACTTCTCTGGCATATATTCCGGTTTTTTCGATAGACTCAAAATTTTGGATTTTATAATGATTTTCCCAAAAAAGTCAAATTTTTGAAAAAATTTAGGTCAAAATCCAAAATTTTCAAAAAACCGAGATAGCTATTTGATAGACAAAGTAAAATTACGTATAACCTTTTTTGTTACGTCTTGATTCCTTTAAAAATGAAGATGTTAGCGGCGTTTGAACTTTTGCCGTTTTTGAGGCGAAAATGGCGAACATGACGTCACTAAAACGTCAATTTCTCAAACATTTTCCGACGGATTTCGCTCAAATTTTCAGGGAACGTGTCAAATTGATGTAAGAAAAGGTACTGAAAGTTTGGCGGCGCTGCGCGCCGCCGTTTTTGAGATATCGCAAAAATTCGCGAGGGGGGGGTAAAATTTACCCCCCCCAGCCCCGCGCGGGTTAAAGTTCGCTTGGCTGACGTCTGAACCTGTGATAGAGAAGACGAGATGTTATATGATACCCAAATATGCCTCTGTTTATCTTTATGCATGTTGAATTGTGTACATTTATTCGACATTATTTATTATCAAATCCGTTTTGCCTACGTAACCATTGATGATGGCAGGCTAACCCATCGTCCTAAGCGATAATCTGAACTGAGTCATCCCCACCTCACATAACCAGACACATTGCTCTGTGAATGCCCTCTGATTGCTGCAGAGTGTGTGGGACACACAGCCCACGAGCCAGGATTGCGCCGTGCTGGCCAAGTCGACAGGAAACCGGCTGCTCAGCCCCGTAGCATGCACCGCATCTTACAAGTTCATCTGCGAGTGGCAGCCAGGTCAGTCAAAAGTCTGCCTAATATGAAAACATTAGAACGAATATTGTCATGTGCTTACACTGAGGCAAAGACTTATCCTTAGAGTTAGACTTATTCTTGAAGGCGACAGGACGCGGAAATATCCGTTGATGTGTGACTTATAGACCATGCCGAGCAGAAATTGGCTCTGAGCCCCGTCTCTGACCAGTCTGTGTCTCCTCTCTCAGATATGATGAACGACGCCATCCCAGCCATGAGCCCCGACGGCGCCTGCTTCTTGGACATGCCCTACCCGGAGGACCCAGACTTCCGGGGTGAGCATCGAATCTGCCGATCGTAGTCCGACCTAAATTTCTCTATTTGATATCTTTTGACTTTTAGTACCTACCTATAAGTGTGGTACGAGCTATGAATTTAAGGGACGATTTAATGTGACATTCGATGACCACTAGAAAAAGTAATCGCGAAGGAAATGTAACTGGGTCGACCTGCCTAGTCCTGATGAGCTATATACAAATGTGAAATAATTATCAGATAAATCTTTTTTACTTGTTAAGAAGTAGTTTCTCTGCTAACCGAGAACCCGCCGTCTGCAGTGTCCCCGGGCGACTACGAGCCGACCAAGCTGACCCCAGACATGTGCTCGGCGCGCTGCCAGTCACTGCGCTTCATGTACGCCGGGCTCAAGAACGGCATGTTCTGCTTCTGCAGCAGCGTTCTGCGTGAGTGATCGCGTGATACCAGACCGGAGCCAAGCAATGCTGAGGGTTACTTCAGTTCCTAGTCATGACCACTATTACCGAGTAAGTGTCGGCAGCTATGCCAGTGGTTGCCGACTTTTGCGAGCTGTCGTATATGCAATCGGAAGCTACTGGTGACAGAGTAGGTGCAGCCACTGATCGGCAACTGATCGGCAACTGATCGGCAACTGTTGCAGATCCCGACATAATAGGGTCGAGCAGAGCCGATTGCCGCGACCTCTCCCTATCTGTAGCTAGCACGGTTTATTCGCCCACAGGCATTGAGCGGGCGGATGCTAGCTTCTGCAGTGAGCCATGCACCGGTGACCCGAGCCTGACCTGCGGCGGTATCGACGAGTATGTGCAGGTGTACCGCACCGGCGGACAGGTCAGTAGACACCCCAGGCAGTCACCGGCCCCCGCAGACAGGCAAATAACGAACTGCAAGATTCCAAACATTTCAGAAAATTTGTTCCTTGGTTGCATGTTAATTTTGAAGGTACGTACGTCCTCTTTCGCCATTTTCCCCGACCGATGTGTTAGTTTGGTGGCTGAATTTCCCCGACACTAAGATGACGGTCCCTTCTGCAGGCGGAGATCCAAGGCGCCTCCATAGCCGTGGAACAGACCACCATCCAGCCCGTGGACACCCTGTTCAGCTTCACTGCCAGCGTGGAGGTCGGCGAGCAGGTCCTCATCTCGTGAGTATCGCTGGCGGAGAACCGGCGTCTTCATTTCCTTCTACATACAAACATTTTTACAATGGAAAATCTTGTAACGCTTCTGGGGACCGGCATGGCATCCTGATTGGAGTCTATCGTGGTCGGTAACACCCCGTCCCTCGCCGTTCCCGTCAGGTACGATTTGGGCGACGGCAGTGACGCCACGCTGCCTTCAGAAGAGGCCACTGCCATCACCCACCAGTACAGCTTGCCAGGAGAATACACGGTCACGGCCATCTTCACAGACGTTCCGGGCGTCGCCAAGGTGGGAGACGGTCATGCTGTAGAAACGTAGCGGCTCACTTTTACGGCGCAATTTTACGTATTTTGTTCTTTCAGCTCCAAACTCCCGAAAAAGTTCCAATTTACATTAGCAAAATGCTGTTTTCGTTATCTTTATCAGTGCGGGCTTGATTGTTTCATCTTCAACAGTTCATCTTATAGTCTTCGGTTTTGCGGTTATTATCGATAAATCGTCACCGTCAAACCACTTTGCCGGTGACCAGTGACCAAGTTAACAAACCACTCTGGCGGCCAGTAACACCCTCCCTGTACCCCTCCCCCAGCCGCGGTACCACCAGACCACGGTGACAGTGGGTGAGGAGGTGGGACAGGTCGAGTTCGACTGTCCCGATCTCACCGAGCCCGGAGACGAGATCAGCTGCCAGTTGTGGCTCGTCACCGGGGCCCATCTCAAACTCACCCTCGAGATGGACAAGGGCTTCGTGGACGGAAAGGAGTACACGATTCCGGGTGAGTTGTAGGGCAGAGGAGCATTTCAAATGTTGATGACTGTACGGTTTGCCCTGCTGAATTGGCGGTTAACCTAACCTAACCTGAACTAACCTGGCTAGTTCAGAGGACCGTTTTGTTGCCACGCAACGAATTAAGTCGCTGTCCAGCGAATCAATCTCTCTTGCTTTTTTTAGGCATGAAGAACCAACTATACCTGAATAATTGAAGCGCCGCCTGCCCTTTTATGACCTGTCTATTACCGATCAGAAGGCATATGTTTTTTGCTGCCCATTTGTGGCCGTTCAGCTGTTGAGCTGACTGTTGTGATACCGTTTGGCGACAGACCCGGTGGTGTCAGCGCTGGGTCTGGCGCCCCCGCAGCACCCTACCGAGGAGCTACAGTCGGCCCTCCCTTCGTTCAGACTGGGCCAGCACGGCACGGCGGCCACCGGCACAACACACAGCCGGAGGCGCAGAGAGTACGTCATTCAGCTACAGATCGGCCTTTAATCATTTGCTGTGATAGGTCAATCGCGAAAGTTATGGAACAGGAGAGGACACACGTTCATTTTGTCATCAAGCCTTTGTCATCATCACTTTAAACTTTTCTATGATGAGCTAAGAGGTATTATGGTAGCATGTTAGCAATCACATTATGATAGCACTTGGCACTCGACATACTTTTGTGAATAATGACGTAGCAGTGAACAGGAGCAGGGCACGAGTGGCTGGCGACTTCATGGTGTGCCTGCTATCTTACAGAATCCGTTACGGAAATCCGGTGGACAGCTCTGCACACAGCAGTGCACAGGACGCCGGTGTCGCTGTGAACGCGTTGTCCTCCGGCGCTGCCGTCGGCGGCGTGCAAGGTGGGTACGCCACCACCAAAGCCCGGGTGGAACCATGCTCAGACTGGTTCAACAAACTGTCATCTAAGCTGAGAGGTAGTTAGAAGAGAAGAGAAGGCGTTTATTTGAGTTGACTTGAGTTTGTTAGATCCGTTCGTTCCGGCAAGAGCACTGCATGGTCATGGTACAACACAATAGAGGGCAACTGTGGGACCACGTGGATTTGATATCCCGAGTCTCGACAGCTGTCTTGAGTCTGTTGATTTCATGTCGCCAGAAAAACCTGATTCTATGCGGTTTGCAGGAGATACCTACGAGGCGACAACAGTGGTTATGCCCTGGGCCAAAGTCACGGATGCCGTCGTCCTGGTCGGCTTTGAGTACTACGCCACCAAAGCGGGAAATCTGAAACTGATGGTAAGCCCAAACTCATTACTGTGAACCGATATGTGACATGCGCAAGCTGCAATAGATCAAGACGGAGTGCCAAAACACGACGTAACGTCCCAGACAACGTGTGCCGTGCCCTTGCCCTGACGGATGCTCCAGTGGCGCCATGCCTTCGCCGTGACCCTTGACGCCGTGTGTGCTCGTCGTCAGGTATTTCGGCCCACCTGTCCTGGCGGCTCGTACTGCCACTCGACCGGCACCTGCGACGACGGGCTCTGTAACGATTTGGACCACAGCGCCGTGTCATGCCCGGACTCTAATCCGCTCTACGCTCCAATGCGGCAGTGCCAGCAGGTGAGAAATAACCCAGTCGCCGCGAACAAAACCAGACCAAGAGTACAGAGTGATGACCGCAGTGGCGGATGACCGAGCATAGAAACAAGTATTCAGTCATAATGCTTCTTTGGATTTCGTGTCGAATTCGGGCGATTAAGAAGCCCTGAAAAAAATTAGGCCAAAATTCTAAAAACTTTTTGAGATACGATACCGACCCAAAATGAGCCACCGGGCGCCCGCTCCCAGCCGCCGCGCCGCCTCCGCGGCCGGTGCGGGAACCGCCCCGCCCCGCGCCGATCGGTTGTCGTGCCACCTGACCAGCAGCACCTCCGACGTCCTGTCGAACCTCTGTTCGTAGCTGCCACGCCGTGACTTTGCCATCTCCTTCCTCTCGGTCACGGGACATTTGTCCAGTCTATTTTCCCTCACTGTGCCCGTCGCGCGTACTCCGCGGTCCTTCAGCTGCGCGAGGAGGCTTCTGGAGGTGAAAAGGTTGTCAAAAAAAAAGAATACCTCATGACCACCAGGATCCGACACCACGCTCAGCATGTCCATCACCACTCTCGTGCCCAGCGGCTGGTCACGCAGCTCAGGACGCTCTTCCTTTCCACAGTACAGGTCGAATTTGTAGCAGTATCCGTCACTGCCACAAACCGCCCAGAGCTTGTAGCCGAAACGAATCGGCATTTCTCGTATGAACTGCTTCAAGCTGTTGTGACCGTAGTACCTCACAATCATCTCGTCAACAGCTAGCTTGGACTGAAAAATACCAAACTGCTGGAATGACTTGTTGATGATATCCAGAAGCGGACGCGCCTTGAAGCCACGGTCTTTTGCCTCTTGCTGTATATTGTTGTCCTGGACGTGAAGGTAAGACTTGATTTTCAGGTAATCCGATCTCGTCATCGCTAGCCAGACGATAGGACGGGCGAGGTCGTCGTCCTTCGACCAGTATATTCGCTCGCTGGGGAGCGGCTTGTAACCGGAATAAAGCAGTATTCCAATGAACGCCTTCAGCTCATGGTCGGACAGAGAGAAGAGCGTCGTTTTTTACATCTCTCGCATACCGAAGGGTTTCCAGCTGGATGGGATGGAACACTTCAGGTGTGAAGATTTTCTCAAAAATCTCCACAGCCGTACTCCCACTCAGCTCGCTGGAAATCTTCTCCCGAGCTTCTTTCGATCCGTTAGAAGGCGCCTGCCAGCCAGTGTATTCTGGTTGTTGTTTACGCCAGGTGGGAGCGCTTTGATCCGTGCGTCGTTTTTTCTTCGGCGGAGGGGTGTCGTCTTCAGTTGGTGTCTCTGAAAATGAACTTCCACCTCGCCAGGCACGTCTACCACCTCGGCGACACCGGTGCATTCGCCATTGCCCTCATCCTCGTCACTGTCGTCCGGCGGAATGCTCACCACATCGATATCTGCACCATGGACAGAATCGAGATTGTTCATCACCATATCTACGGCTTCCTGTAGAGTCAAATACCGGTGCTTCCGCGGCCTTGTGCTTGTTTCGGTTCCACAGATGGAAGACTACAATCTCAAAATTGCACTATTTGCCCTCTCGCGACAAACTGACCGGCGTACCCTCCCCGTCATTAGCCCGTAGCCGCCGCTATCCGGGAATCCCCGCGCCCGCCACCAGCTGTGCGCGGGCCTGACCACAGGACCGGTGAGTCCAAATTGGTCGCTCAAAATTTCGCGCGCGCCACGCACCGCCGGGGCGTAGTGAGCCTGTTATCGCCAACGGATTTAGCAAAAGTGGACCTTCCTCTGTATAATATAAGCTTGCTGTCTCATTACTTCGATTAATGACCGAAATTCAGCCGTTTCACTGCATTCGTGTCGTAATATCGAGAAATCGCTAACTTTAGGACCCCACCAAATAAAGTTCTAGGGATTGTGGTCCTCAGTACCCAGAAAACCATCTACAGGTAACCTTTCTCATCAATCACCAGGGATTGACAGACCCCTCCGACGAAACCAGTCAACCGTGGCACCTTTCAAAGACACCGTCCATTTTTGATCCGCCGAGCGCTAATGGGTTAAAACGATCCTGCAAGTGTATGGAAGTCCATGTAAGTGTATCTGTGGCAGATACTGCTTGCTGTAATTTTGCCAGATGATATCAACCAAAGATAAAATTGATTAAAAGTGCATGAAGGGGATGAATGAATGGATGCATGGATTGATGAAATTGCCCATGCCATCCTCGCCTAAACAGCAGCGGTGACCGCAGGTCTACTGACCCCTATCCCTCTCCTCCTACAGTCGCTGTGTACCACCGGACCTACTGCCTCTCCGACCGTCTCTTCCGACGGCAACAGCACGTCTGTGCCGGGCGGCCGGCCCGGCTACAGCGCCGTGTACTCGGTCACAGAGCAGGTGGCCGCTGTCGGCTACGGCAAACTGCTGGTGGACACCAGTCTGGAGACGGCCACCTGGCTGCAGCCCGGCGACGTGATCGGATATGAGAGTGACGGCGCGGTCATCGGCTGGAGACCCGCCCGCCCGGGCCAGGAGCAGGATGGTGAGCGAGAGAGAAGTTCCGATAAGAATGCTTCTAATTTATTCGTGCATATTGTTATTGAACGGAAACGATCGCGCATTTTCTACGTCAACTAATTGACACGTAAAGAGTAACGGAAATGGTCGAATTTTTTTTTAGTGAAAGTAAGCAATAAAAACTGCTCTGGTTATACTTAATCACGAGTCCTTTGAAATCATTTTATTTGCACTGGTTCCAGTTAATTAATTCTCTTAACAGTTGAGACAATTCCGAACATGACGATGTGTCGGTTAGTTTGTGCGGGTGAAGTGTCTCGCTATTGTCCTGACACGCTGGTGGCTCTCAGCCCCGGAGCTGGCGGCGCTGGGGCCGCAGTGGCTGGATGACGACTCCTCGGGGTCTCTGGACTCACGTCACTACCTGCGCGCCATCGTGTCGTCGCCGCTGCAGCTGACCATCAACCACACGTACGACGTGGTGGGCGCGTACCAGGCGTTCGCAACCGTCTCCACCACGGGCGACATCGTGTCCGAAACCAGCGCCGGACAGGCCATCGACGTGCAGGTCAGCGGCCATCGACCAGCGGGTCAGCTAGGTGGATAGTGATCACAGCTCGGCACGGCATGGTGGCCATGGAGTTAATTCATCCTCCTCTAGAATATTTCCTCGCGAATACAGAGCCATGGCTAAATTTCTAATGTTGTGGTTGGGTCAACGTAATTGAGTCATGACGCTCCACCTATACATCTGCTCGTGGCCAGCAGCAGCAGTTTAAAGTTGCTACGGCTATCTTACCTGTTCAGTGGCTGTTTGTTGTAATCAGCATGACGTAAAAGGCAATGTCAGCAACGCGACTTGGATATGTCGCAGGCATCAGGTGAAATCCGGCATTTCTTGAAATGTCCAGGCTTTACGTGGAAAGCCTAGGGTTTTCATGAAATGCCGGATTTCATCCCATGTTTGGGTTGCATTATTTGGCGCTGGCTCAGCACCAAACCTAAACAACAACACCTAACCCGACCTTACCTAATGTAACCTAACCTTATCTAACCAAATTACTTTTCATATAACACGTAAGGCTAGGTCTAATGGTTTGATATGCTATGTAGGTGCAAGCAGGTTCAAGGTTAGGCATTTCATGAAATGCCGGATTTCAGCCGATGCCTACGACAGATATATAATTGACCCAGCCCCGCGCTTTCAGGTTCCCATCACTGGCTTCAAGGTTACCCTGGATCCTGAACACGTTACAACCAACAACAAGACCAACGCCACCGTCCTGATCAAGACGGGCAGCTTCGTCAAGATCACGTTTGACTTCGGCGAAACTCACCTGGGCGCAGCGAATGTTATCGAGGAGGCGGACAGTAAGTGGGGTGAAGTACATTCGACAATATTTGAATATATTCGGCGCTTATTTTGACATTTTCCTGCATCTATCTTTTACTTCAGTAGCATCTCTTGTCTGGCTATCGAGATTGTCAGCTTAATTACTGCAGCTTAATACTGTCACCTGACTGATTCAGTCAAGATTCAGTCAGCATGACCAAATTGTTTTTATTAGAAAAGTAGAAATTCTTCACGTGACAAACCAATATTTTTCTTATTTTGTCTTTTTCAGCGATTGAAAACGACGGCTGGTCGCAGATCTACTGGTACAAGCGGGGTGAACCCGGGCCGCGCTACGTCATCATTACTGCTGAGAACAAGTGGGGTCGGGAGACGTACCGACACACGCTGTACGTGCAGCGGGCCGTCACCGACAAATGGTACCTGGTGGACAACGCGCCCGTCCTCTGGCCCATTCCCGGTGAGTAGCCTCTACCTGAACCCTGGTCAGTACCTGGTGGACAACGCGCCCGTTCTCTGGCCCATTCCCGGTAAGTGCCTCTCTGACCTCTGGGTAGAGGTCCTCTGTCCTCAGGTAAATGGCTATCTGCTCTCTCTGGCTGTATGCAAGTGGCCGCTGTTTACGATTCGCTCAAAGTCGGATCCTTGACTGAAAATGCGTAGCTAATAGCTTGTTGAACGGTTCAGCGAATGCGATTAGCAGCGCCTAAGGAAGCTGTCGGAATTGGGATTTTTCTTCCCATTTTTTTTTGGGGGGGGGGAGGGCTCGCAAGTAGCGTTAGTATTAGTTCGGCGTTTTGTCCCTGGTGACATCAGTTTCATGGCGATGTTCCTCAGGTAACGTCAGTTTCAGTTCGATGTTTTGCCGCAGATGTTAGTTTCACGATGGTATTTTCTCGCAGGTGACGTCAATTTCACGGTGGTGTACCCGGCGGGGCTGCCGCTGCCCACCATGGCCTCTGCCGAGCTGTATACCGGCGACGGTTACGTGTTCGAGTGGGAGATTCCCGAGGAGCGCGAGGCAGGCGAGATCTACGAGATCGGATTCAACAGGTCGGCATAGTGTTATTATTACATACACAGGCGTCTTAGTTAGTTCATTAACAAAATTTTTCACCTCCAAAAATCAAGAATGCAGGTGAAAATGTTGTTCTGAGTGTCATTCACGCTTATGCGAAACTTGTAAACATTCTGTATGTTTCTCCGGAAATGACCCATATTTGTAGAATGAGGACGGAAGTTGATGCGATTGTCACTGTTTCGTATTTATTGCAGATCCTACGACATCCAGGGGTCGTACCGTGCTAAACTCCGCATTTTTAACCTGGCCTCAGAGTTCGAGATGATAAACAGGGTACCGGTGTGGGCAGAAATTCAAAATCTAACGACGATGGCCTACTACTTGCCTTTTCTGCCAATAGGTAAGTAATTTACATCGTTATGCATGGTGATCTGTACATATGTGCGCATTCTACGCTTTCATTACGGAGCGAGCGAAGCGAGCGGAGTCTTACGTAGAATAACGGAAATTTCTGAGTATGAGCGGCCGGCCGGCCGGCCGGCCGGCCGGCCGTGCGGACGCTTTTGCGAGGCTTATATCTCAGCAACCACTTGACCGATTTACATGCGGTAATTTTTGTAGGGTAGCTTCATTCCTTCTACCAAGTATTGGACTATTCCCGATGCATGTGGGTGACTCCTTATGCACGTGCCACGTGCAAAACGAAGAGGTGTCAGTTTTGTAATTGTTGCAATATCTCGGTAACTACTTGGCCGATTGCGCTGAAAGTTGGCATATAGGTAGGCACCCACTAGGCACTGCATATACATGTGCCAGAGTTGGGGTGCTGCTGCACGTGCGCACGTGCAGGGGTCGTTTCCCAGATCTCGAGAACGGCTGGACCGATTGCGCTCAAATTTGGTACACGGTTAGGGACCGGTTAGTAGGGTGCCGTGCACAAGTCAGTTGGGACCCATTTTGCACGTGCGCACGTGCAGGGTGCCGCTTCCAGATCTCGAGAACGGCTGGGCCGATTGTGCCCAAATTTGGCACATCGCTAGAGACCGGTTAGTAGGGTGCCGTGCACAAGTCAGTTGGAAGTACCCCCTCGCAATTTCGCACGTGCAAGGCCCACCCTCTCGCTCGCTCCGTTAGTCGCCCCAAAAGGCGTTATACTGGTTTAATTCATATAGATATGCATTATAGCATGCCTCCTCCGGTAGGATTGATGTCCATACACCATTACTGCGTCCCGAAGGTTGAGACTTTGAATTGTGAAAAACGCCCGCCCGCCGTAGGATTGATGTCCATATAACAATTGGCAACCAATAATTGATTGCAGAACTCCCACTTAAATAACTTTGTAGTATGGTTATGAAGCTCTAGATATTATTTATTTTTATCCATATTTTTCAGTGTCTTTCTGAACATTTACACGCGTCTGGTTCTACCTACGTTGCATCCAGCTGCTGTTTGCTGAACAAGTCCTAAAGTCACCTCTCGATTTTCAGGCGGCGACACGTATCTTACCGGCCATGGCCCCGAATACGACTCTTTCCCGATCGAGCGAAACGTGTCATTTTTCCTGAACATGACACAAGGCATGATTTTCCAATACATTTTGGAGATGGACAACGGAACCTTCCTGACAAACTCGTCCACATCGCCTGTGAACTACATCTTCCCCGAGGTAAACTAAACATCTAAATCTTTTATGCATTTTTTTAATTAATCATTCCTCTGTTTCGATGTGTTTATGATTCTCCTATGTCTCTTGAAAGCAGCTCCTGCATGATTACCCGCTAGATAGAAGCGTGTTTAGCGCGAATACATACATTCAAGTCATATTGTACGTAAAATTTGTCACCAAAGTCATGATAGATAACTGTTAAATGAATCATGAATGTCTGTGAGAATATAAAGGCAACATAGCACAATCTGTTTTTGGTAGAGTTGCATTTCGTTTTTGATTTCTTATTGTTACTTTTAAACTTGTTGTATAATTTCGGATGACATTTTCGGAATTGTTGTATAATTTCGGACGTGTTTCACAGCCGGGAACATACAGTGTGAGCCTGTACGGCTGGAATCCTCTACAGGGCCGCTCCATTCCCGTCAACATTACCGTCAAAGGTGAGAGAAAACACGGACCCGCCAACTGGCAAGAGGCACAGTAACTTCGGCAGTGTAACGGCTTTGTAATATGGACCAGAGTTTGGACCCTGTTGCACACTGATGCTGATTTCTGTCGCCCCATTTGCATTGGTACCGAGCCCACCGTCCGCTGACCGTCGCCACTCCCGCAGTGCTCGAGTCGCCAGTGAACGTCATCATAGACGACTACCTACTCGTGTCGGAGGCCAAGTCAGCCAAGGAGTTCGAAATCCGCATGGACTCGGTGGGAACGTACACCTGCCTGATGTGGACTCCCGGTGACGGATCTAGTAAGTCGGCTTTTCACTGAGGAGTATCCCTCAGATCGAGATTCTGCAATTGCAAAATGCATACAGTTTTTATGATGTGATCAATGGGAAACCGTGGAAAATCAAAGGTTTAATTTATTTGATCAATATGGTATGTTCCATTTGCTTTGGGTGACGCGTCATCAATTTATTTCAGAGATTCAAGGCTGGGGCGACCGCGACACGTGTGACAGCGTGAATCCGCCGATCCCCTACATTTATCAGGGCGCGGTCATCGAGAACCCTCTGAAAATGACGGTGAGCTGGCTTAGCTGACGAAGGAAGGCTGAACTGCTTGGTCTGGCGAGTGACGAGCTTACTAATATATTGTGACTTGGGTAATCATCCGGTAGTAAAGTGTGTCACGCTGTCAAAATTAAGTCTTTTTTTTGCTGACATTCATGTGACGTGTCGTGGAATGCGATCGGACACATGCTGCGTGAGCTCTATCGCTTGACTTTCTGTCACCTGCGTCATAAGGCTTTTTTAGCAGCTCCCTTCTTTCACTTCTTTATATGACGAATGGCAGATAAATCAAGGCATTTGTATATTGCACATAGCTGGGATAGACGTGACGCTCACGCTTGTTTAATGCTCATATATGCATAAAATGCAGGGGCGGTCGCAGACTTGGAGTTTGGGGGGGGGCCAACTTGTCAAAGGGGCCCCTGCGCTGACCCGGGGGGCCCGGTGCAAGCTTAAAGGGGCCAACGGACGTAGTGCACGGGTGCAGAAATCCAGGCCATGGCCGGTGAAGCGGGGGGGGGGGGGGGGTAGTGAGCGGCACCCGAGAGGAGGCTCATTGCGAAATGCGAGCTTTGAGGGTGTACCATGTCGAAAAGGTACCGATAAGTGCATTTTGAAACATTGATATTGTCAATAATTCACGCAACTGTGAATGGACTATCGCAAAAGTAAAGGCGTAAAGTAAAGTAAAGGCGCGGCTGACTTTGCCATTTTCTAAGATCATCGTGCTAAAAGTTTTGACAATGGGTCATCGGTATCTGTTCACTGTTCAATCACATGTGTTCCGTTTCATCTTTTTTGTTTTTACTTGAGCACAAATGTAAGTTTTGAAGGCCATTACAGTAGCCAATACTTCGGAAGATGGATAGTGGGCCAAATATCCTAAATTTGTCGTGCTGCATGGAAAGTAGTGTTGCTGAGAAAAGGGGGTTTTGTTCCAGATTACTGTGGATGCAGAATACATTGTCTGCACCCACTGCAGAATTATTGTTGGTGCAACTGCGCCCACTGCACCCATGGTTCCTACACTTATGGGCCCGTCGATAGCGCTTCGGCAATAGGTACCTATCGCCTAGAGGCTGCAATGGGGCCCTTAGAGTACGGTGTCAGACCCCCCCAGAGGCCGGCGTTGGACCCAAGGGTCAGCGAAGGGCCTCAAAGGCCCCAGGTAGGGCCCCAGAGGCTGATGTGGGCCTTCAGAGGCAAGTGCGTGACGCCCAAAGGTAAGGCTTGAGCCCCCCCCCCCCCCCCAGAGAACATAATAGGGCCATCAAAGGCCGGTGTGGGACCTTTAGAGGCTGGTTTGGGCCCATAGGGGCCAGTTTAGGTCCGTCAGAGACCAGTACAGGGCCTGCAAAGGGCAGTTTGAGACCATCAGAGACCGAATTGGGCACTCAAAGGCTAATGTGGGTCCTTACAGGCCAGCATGGAGCCCTCAGAGGTTACCGTGGGGCTCTAAAAGACCGACATGGGCCGGCGTTGGACCCCAGAGGCCAGTAGAGGGCCGTCAAAGGCCAAGATGGGCCCTCAGAGACTGATGCGGGCCCTTAGAGGCCGGCATCGGGTCTTCAGAATCCAGTATGCGGGGCCCTCAGAGGCTAATGTGAGCCCTTACAGGCCAGCATGGGGCCCTCAAAGGTCAGAATAGGACCCTAAAAGACCGGCATGGGCCGGTGTTGGACCCCAGAGGCCAGCGGAGGGTCCTCAAAGGCCAAGATGGGCCCTCAGACGACAATGCGGGCCCTGAGCGGCCGGCATCGGGTCTTCAGAAGCCCGTGCGGGCCCTCAGAGACTAAGGTGGGTCCTTACAGGCCAGCACGGGCCCTCAGAGGTCAGTGTGGGGCCCTAAAAGACCGGCATGGGCCGGCGTTGGACCCCAGAGGCCAACAGAAGGCCCTCAAAGTCCAAGATGGGCCCTCATAAGCCGATGCTGACCCTTAGAGGCCGGCATCGGGTCTTATGAATCCAGGGGGCCTCAAAGGCTAATGTGAGCCCTTACAGGCCAGCATGTGGCCCTCAAAGGTCAGAATGGGACCCTAAAAGACTGGCATTGGCCGGTGTTGGACCCCAGAGGCCAGCAGAGGGCCCTCAAAAGCCAAGATGGGCCCTCGGGATGATGCGGGCCCTTAGATGCCGGCATCGGGTCTTCAGAATACAGTGCGGGGCCCACAAAGGCTAATGTGTGTCCTTACAGACCAGCATGGGGCCCTCAGAGGTCAGTGTGGGGCCCTAAAAGACCGGCATGGGTCGGCGTTGAACCCCAGAGGCCAGCGGAGGGCCCTCAAAGGCCAAGATGGGCCCTCAGACGCTGATGCGGGCCCTGAGCGGCCGGCATTGGGTCTTCAGAATCCAGTGCGGGAGCCCTCAGAGGCTAATGTGGGTCCTTACAGGCCAGCATGGGGCCCTCAGAGGTCAGTTTGGGGCCCTAAAAGGCCGGCATGGGCCGGCGTTGGACACCAGAGACCAGCGGCGGAGGGCCCTCAAAGGCCAAGATGGCCCCCAGAGGCCGATGCGGGCTCTTAGAGGCCGGCATCGGGTCTCCAGAATCCAGTGCGGGGGCCCTCAGAGGCTAATGTGGGTCCTTACAGGCCAGCCAGCATGGGCCCTCAGAGGTCAGTGTGGGGCCCTAAAAGGCCGGCATGGGCCGGCGTTGGACACCAGAGACCAGCAGAGGGCCCTCAAAGGCCAAGATGGGCCCCCAGAGGCCGATGCGGGCTCTTCGAGGCCGGCATCGGGTCTTCAGAATCCAGTGCGAGGCCCTCAGAGTCACTTAAAGTCTAGTCTTGGGACTCGAGAGACAGAAATGAGGCCACCAGAGGCCGGTGTGAGGCTCTCAGACGCCGGTTGGGCCCTTGAGACCGGTTTAGGGGCCCTCAAAGGCCAGTGGAGGGCCCTCAGAGGTCAATGTGGGTCCTCAGCGGTCAATGTGGACGCTTGACCGCCACTGAAGGGCCCTCAGAGGTCAGTGTAGGACCCTCAAAGACTGGTATGGGAGCTGTTAATAGCTGGCGTGGGTTTCTCGAGCCTCGTGACAATCGAATACGGGCCAGGGCCCCATACGGCCATGGGGGCCCATCGGTTGTTTGGGGGGGGGCCAAATGATATGATGGCCCCCCCCTGATTTGGCTTTGGGGGGGGGGGGCCATGGCCCTGATGGCCCCTCCCTGCGACCGCCACTGATAAAATGATACGCTCTAATTCGCGGTGTTCTGCTCTACGTCTTCAGTGGACATATATGAAGAAGGGGCAGTACAAGATGAGTGTTCACGCGTTCAACTTTTTGGCCGAGTCCAGCTACGAGCTCAGTTTCACCGTGTCGTCCATTCCGTGCCGGCCGCCGGACCTGATGATTCGGGATAGCTCAACTGCCTTCTGGATGCCGAAGGTGAGTTCTGAGAGCGGGACTGGGGTTGAGAGCTATGTGGTGATGCTAATTACATGTTTGCTGGTAAACTGACACGGCATAATCTGAGTTCTGACGTACATGCTTACATCTGAGCGAGGCATATGTGTTGCCCTTTGATCGATGACGTCGATTGTCCTTGGTGACAGATTACTTTGTGTTTGATTTATGTCAATGCATTTCAGCCATATTTCCGAAAGGACTCTTTCGAGCTGTTCACGGTGTGCAGCATTGACTGTAACGCCTCCCTGGACACAACCAAGACGTGGACGGCCCAGGCCATCGACGAGTCGTGAGTATTGACACGGGAAATGCTCCATCTATGAACCAACGCAATATGCTCCACAGATACTAATAGGTCTGTAATTTGCCTGCAAAATGAGAATTCTCAATGCCAGTTATGGCATGGTTAGGCTCCAGGACGACTCTTGCATGTGTCATTTTGGCTAATCATCATTGCAGATATATCCGACGAGTGAATTCCTACGATGCTACTTGTCTTTACTAGCTTCGATTTTGTGTTTCTTTTCATTGTGATGGAAGTGTCCTCATCATGTGACCTGTTTCGGGGAACATTCATTCTGGCCAGGGTTCATAATGTCCAGGGTACGATATGCCCAGTGTCGAAATGGCCAGTGCCTTGAATAGGCCAGAGTTCATAATGTCCAGGGATTGCATGGTCCAAATGCGGCCAACTGGCTGCAGATAGGGTATATTCAAAGAGGCCAGGATTCATAATGTCCAGGGCACGATGTGTCCAGTGTTCGAAATGGCCAGGGTTCATAATGTCCAGGACACGATGTGTCCAGTGTTCGAAATGGCCAGGGTTCATAATGTCCAGGGAACGATGTGTCCAGTGTTCAAAATGGCCAGTGCCTTGAATGGGCCAGAGTTCATAATATCCAGGGATTACATAGTCATTGAAAGTGACGTCATTATGTAAAAACACGGAACCAGCTCAATGCGAAGCAGTGCAGTGCCGAAGGCAATGCCTTAGGAGAGATTACAGGCAATAGTAAATCAAATATTTTTAGGTTAAGTGGTTATGTATCTGGCTTCAGGCCGAAGGCCTGAAGCCTGATGCATAACCACTTAACCTAAAAATATTTGATTTACTATTGCTTGCAATCTATTCATGCGAGAAACTATTTCCTTATCCCCGGTAGGCAAACATCATTACCTTAGGTTAGGTTAGGTTAGGTTAGGTTAGGTTAGGTTAGGTTAGGTTAGGTTAGGTTAGGTTAGGTTAGGTTAGGTTAGGTTAGGTTTGGTTTGGTTTGTTTGACTGTGTAATCCCTGGACACTATGAACTCTGGCCAATTCAAGGCACTGGCCATTTTGAACACTGGACACATCGTGCCCTGGACATTATGAACCCTGGCCATTTCGAACACTGGACACATCGTGCCCTGGACATTATGAACCCTGGCCATTTCGAGCACTGGACACATCGTGCCCTGGACATTATGAACCCTGGCCTCTTTGAATTTACCCTATCTGCAGCCAGTTGGCCACATTTGGACCATGCAAACCCTGGACAATATGAACACTGGCCAATTCAAGGCACTGGCCATTTCGAGCACTGGACACATCGTACCCTGGACATTATGAACCCTGGCCTAAATAATACGCACCCACCTGTTTCTGTGTCAGCTGGGGCAATATCACCGGCTCAGTGGATCTGACGTCACTCAGCTCGTATATGAAGTCAACTCTGTTCGTTCCTTCACGATTCATGGAGTACGGCACTTACAAGATGACGTACTCACTTCAGATATCAGGTTGGTAGCGGACGCCGCCACGTTCTAGCGTCACATAGTTACGTTACGTTGATTATACAACGGCATGAACAAACACAGCTCAATGTGTGATTCGATCCATGTCCCGAAGCTATGCAGTACACTCATTGAATTCACAAACCATTGCCCTCTAACCGCGTAACCGACTGTTGCCCTCAGGCGAAGGAATGGACCCGACCCAGCCGTTCGTCAAGCGGGTGTTCACCTACGTTAGGATCAATCGGTCGCCGCTGCTGGTGACGATGTTGTCGGGCGGCAGCTCGGCCATCCAGCGCGGATACAACCAGATGGTGGTGCTGGAGCCAGAGAGGTTCTCCCAGGACCCCGACTACCCGGACGACACCGTGAGTCGGAGGGATGCCGCATATGATCATGTCCCTGCAAACACGGACGGATAGCACAGTGGATCCGATGCCGCATATGTGGCGAGGCCACATGCTTCTTTGTCTAAAAAAAATATGCCGCCTGTGAAAGAGAGTGACAGTGAACACAACTGTCTAAAATGGCGCCATTAATCGTTTTTGATGAATGGTTGACGTGACCCTGCGTTGTACTGATGTCACTAGGAAGTGCTTTCACGAAATATTTTCTCATTCTCCGTTGCCGAGTGTTGCTGCCTTTTCTGAGAAACGCTCGTTTAGGGGAGAGTGGGGCAAAGCGGCCACCCTAACCCTTCTCACGATGCCAACGCTTGATTTTTAAACTTGGAAAGATTCTTTCTATACCAATGTGATCCCTATTAAGTTGCCTTTTATTTCAACTGCGTTTTATTTCCAAAGGTGTTAACATATGAAAGATATTGACAAAACTTTAAACCTATGCATATTGGCCACTTTGCCCCATACCCTGGGGCAAAGCGGCCACCGGCGTCTTCTCAAGTCCCGATATGAGAAACAAAATAGTTGCCTCGTGTACGACTAGGGTATTTGATGGTGACAAGGTTAAGCGAGGATGGATGTTTACTTTATCATCTTCCACCTGTAGGTAAACAAAGAAAAGATTTTTATGAAAATAAACATTTAGTTGCATTATTTGGTAACTCATGCAACTGAAAAGTGGCCAAGATGAATGCATGATGACACATTTGAATATAAATAATGTTTTTTATCCAGATGGAAGCCACTTATGGCCAATTGGGGGTGGCCACTTTGCCCCGGCCACTTTGCCCCGCGCATACCGTCCGAGACAAAAATATTACAGCTTAGCTATTAGTGGGGTAAAAAACATTAAAATTGGTAGAATACATGTACGATAACCATGCAATGCATGGACAAGAACGCTTATAAAAATTCCAAACGGTTATGGAATAACATAACATTTAAAAATTGTAAATGTTACAGGGAGTATGCGATTTCAGTTAGTTTGCAACGACCCTAGGGTGGTTGTAACCTCCCTGAACGATCAGTTTGTTTGCAACGACCCTAGGGACGTTACAAAATAACTGCTCATTCCGGGACGTTGTAACGAAACTAGGGTCGTTGCAACCTCCCTAGTTAGTATGCAACGAACCTAGGGTTGTTACAAAATAACTAGGGAGTTTAAGAATTCATCGAGTCTCGTTTCACAGGAGGGCCGTCAATAATCTTGTCCAATGAAAATCTTGTTCAATCTAGCTCATTTAAAAAGAAAAGGGGAACAAAATTTGAACATTCAGCTCAGGAGTATTTCACGACGGCCATCTATAGTACACATTTTGTGCAGATACGGTGCACATTTGGTGCAGATTTGTTCAAATTAGATGGACATTCGCCAGGAAGCCCTTCGTAAAAACGGCCATTATCCGCTCGTTTCCAGTCTTTTTAGACAATAGACAATAGACATTTATTTCGCACAAGATCCGACATTTCGGCTTTTCACGTGTACACGTCTGTTTTTAAAACACAATAAAAAGGAGTATAAAAGGGGATACAAGCCACTCTCACGCTATCAAAACAGAACACCATACAACATTCACACACCTAACCGGATTAAGCCCTCATGTTCCGATACAGCGCCGTCCTGAAAGACTCTCGAACACGTCTGTTTTGGCACACGTCGTTATACAGTTTCACTCCGCTGTACGCGAGTTGGCGCCTGCCAGTCTCCGTTCTAATGGCAGGGGGCCGCAGCTGGTTGTTGTGTCGTGTTTGATGTTCATGTCTGTGGTCTGTGGCAGCGATAATCGAGTACAATGTTTCTGGCAACTCCGATGACACGACTCTGCGAACCATCTGTGCCCGGTGGTACTGCACCAGCTGAGATGACGACAGCCAGTTGAGACTCTTGAGTACTTCAGAAATGTGATCAAACTTTTTCTTTCCACTGATGACTCTGGCACCGAAATTTATGATTTTTTGAATTCTTTGGAGTTCCGTCTTACTGCACGTGCCGTAAATCGACACACAATACCTAATGATGGACATGACCAGCGCAGTGACTATTGACTTCAATGATGCCCTCGGCAGAGAATGTCTCGCATGAGTCAGCGCCACTAGACTGCCGCTGCACTTTGCCACTACGTGGTCGACGTGGTCTACAAAGGTCATGTGCCTGTCCATATAAAGCCCTAAGTTTTTGACCACTCTCGATTCCTGAATCGTTGTTCCACAAAAATTTTTTGTGTCAAATATTTTTCAAATTTTTTTCTTTTTGTGATCGTAAACGTTCAAACATGTGAAATGATGGTGGTCCCATGCATTATGGTGGGTGTCAAGGTCACGTGAATGTCAGGTCAAGGTCATTGACCTTTGATGACCTTAGTTCACTTCTTCTGGGCTCATATATTTTTAGGCTAGTTTTTCGAGCTGATTTCGAATTTAGCACCCATTTGAACATTTACGAAGTAATTTTGGCGCCTTCCTACAATGTCACGAAGCTGTCAGTGTTGGTTGACACCTATTATGGACAGCTAGCAAGACGCCTACTGGTTGACCTGACCTGACCTGACCTGACCTGACCCGACCTGGCCTAAAAGCATCAAGACATCATCGGTGATCAAAGCTAACATGAAATTCGTGATCAGCGCCCCGAAAAACCTCGTATCAACTAACTCTCCAAAGTATGACCTGTTAAAGGTCATAGGTCCCGATTTTCCCGACTTTTGAGTCACTGGCCTGGCCTGGAAGGTCAACCAATAACCTAGCCCCGCCTTTTGCGTTTGCAGCTAGCAAAACACCAATAAGGGCGAGAGTTAACCCCGCAGGACCTGTTGGTTTTCTACATACGCGCCGGCCGGGGGGAGGGCTGGTACGACCCCCTCGTCGTTTTTCGCCCCCGTTGGATTTAGAGCGTCGCGGAAAAAACGAGCGTGTGTGCCGTTTGGAGACACAGCAGCTAGTACCCGATTTTAAGGTCTCAGGTCAACTGGTGACCTCTTAGGTCGGGTCATGTGACCCAAGACACGGGTTCGGTTTTTGATCAATAACTTTTTTAAAAACAGTTGCAGAGCGCGATTTTAGCATAAACGTGCTCGCCTTGCTCAGGCGTGTCGAATGGTATACTTTTTGTTCGGATGAGGTCAACTTGAGGTGTTGACTTCGGGTCAAGGTCAGGTCAGAGACCCCTAGGTCGTGAAATTGGTCAAAAGAGGTCATGTTGTATTTTATTCGATTCGGCAGGTCTTCCTCAGTCCATTGGTGGCTTGACCGACTCGCTAGCTCAGTTTGATCGGGAGTTATTGACGAAAAGCTCGTATGACCCTAGTGACGTCATAATCACGCAACGTCAACAATGCAAAATTGAAGCTTCTAACTTTTGCAAGGAGTGCATGAAATCACGATCCGTGTGCTTGCAATAGTTTGAGATTGCTCCCGGCGCCAGAATAGCAGTTTTCATTTTTCTCAATTGACTTATAGTGTTGAGGTCACGTGACCGACCTGACCTCATGTGATCTTTAGGAAAAATCCTGAGGTACAAGTTGTGAGACTTCTACATAGGAGATGCACGTTCTGTAAGTTTCATCCCCTGTAAAAGCTCCTCTGGGACTGGGGGCGTTGCACAGTTGCGGCATCTGAGGACCGTCCACTTATGACGTCATAGGTCAGTAACCTGACCTGACCTGAAAATCTGGTTGGTGTCACAAGATCCGGCTTGAATCAAAGGTCAGATATGCCTAGTTTCAGCTCTCTGTTGCTGGCGTGTTCGGAGCTATCGCGAACAAAAAACTAGGGGGCGAGGATTAAGCTAGGCTGGTTTGGGTAAGTTTGGGTCAAGTAGTTATAGGCGTCCCACCCGCACCACCTATTTATAGCAGCTGTACCTAAACCACCAGCGACAGCTTCGTAGCAAGTTGCATTGGCACCACAACTATACGTGCTTCTCAAATGTCTCAACGAATGCTGGATTCGAAATAAGCTAGAAAAATCCTTAAAATCGTACAATTTGGAACAGTCACCTGAAGTCACCAAACGTCAATGACCTTGACCTGGCCGACAACTGACAAGTCAACTTGAAACCCATCATGATGCATGGGACAACCATCAGTTCATATGTTGGCACGTTTATATGTAATCACAATAGAAGTCTGGAAACGCAATTTAGTGTGCGCTAACATAAACGGCAAATCATTTCGGTCTGCCATGGTCTCAGAAATCAGATCAAAGGTCAAAGGTCATTGGTTTCAGGATCATTTACTGTAGGTATAGGGAATGTGTAACCAGTAACGTAGATAAGTTCGAGGACACTCAAAGTTTCGTCACGATCGGCCGCTTTTAGCGCGAGATAATCGCGAAAAAAAAACGAGGGGTTTTATCCGACCCGCACCCCTAAAAGTGTGAGGGATAACCCGCACACGGATAGCGACGGATATCCATCACACCTACCCCAGTAACTATTTTCTACATGTAAGCATATGCTGGCGATATAATGCAGCCAAAATTATCACAGTTACGTAAGTACCTTGTCCCGGGCACCACAATACTCCTGAGCTGAATGTTCAAATTGTATTCTCCTTTTCTCTTAAGCTGAACTAGATTGAACAAGATTTTCATTGGAAAAGATTGTTGACGGCACTCCTGTGAAACGAGACTCGATGAATTCTTAAACTCCCTAGTTATTTTGTAACAACCCTAGGTTCGTTGCATACTAACTAGGGAGTTTGCAACGACCCTAGTTTCGTTACAACGTCCCGGAACGAGCAGTTATTTTGTAACGTCCCTAGGGTCGTTGCAAACAAACTGATCGTTCAGGGAGGTTACAACCACCCTAGGGTCGTTGCAAACTAACTGAAATCGCATACTCCCTGTAACATAAACATAGTAGGTAACCTGGCAAGAAATGCTTTTCCGTGTTTCACAGAAAAATGGTGATGGGCCTGAAACCCCGGTCTGGCTCATTCGAACGACCGTGAAGAGAAGTATAATTGGAAACCATAAATTGGAACTGACGACAGCTATGAAGGGCTAAAACGATGGGTGGCCGCTTTGCCCCGGGTGGCCGCTTTGCCCCACTCTCCCCTACGTAAATAACGCCACCAGTGTTCCTAATGCCAACATAAATGCGGGTTGATAGGACCAAAACTGGATCCCTGGAGAGACAGCGCCTTACACAGAGTTATGCTCGTGTCGTCAGAACCTGGTCTACTCGTGGTTCTGTCGCCGTCTGCCGGATGAGAAGTTACCGCGCACCAAGGCCGGCTGGCTAAAACATACGGAGCCGCTTCAGAACCCCATCATGAACGCCACCGTGGAACTGTACGACTGGGTGTACGACAACGTGACCAACGCCACGTACGAGGTGGAACGGCCCGACCTGGGCGGCTGCTTCGGACAGGGACCAGGTGAGACGGGCGGCTGCTTCGGACAGGGACCCGGTGAGAAGGCGGTCCCTACCTACCGAGAGACAGGGACCAGGTCAGACGGGCGGAACATACCTACCGAGAGACAGGGACGAGGTCACAAGACAGTCCCTATCTAACGTAACGACTAACGAGCGACGTGGACTAAGTCAGAGGGCAGTCCCTACCTAGCCAGGACGTGGTCAGAGGAGGCTCCCTACCTAACGAGGGAAGTAAATGGACAGGGAGTGAGTCAAAGGGCGGCTCCAGGGCTGACTGAGATCAGGTCAGTGGGTGGTTTCCGATATTTGACAAAGGCGCCGGCCAGAAGGCGGTCCGGGTTCCGAAATGGTGGCTTGCAACATGCTTTCATGTCTAAAGTTGTTTGGAGACAAATGCTGCCGTAAACACTCGCGTTGCTGGCCGGTAGGAATGCTGAACATCACCGGCGGCCGACTGGAGCTGAACACGCTCCAGTTCCGCACCAACAACGCCACGTACGAGATCAGCGTGCAGATGCGGAAGGCGGACCGGACCGACCCGCGCCTGGCCACCGGCACCACGCTGGTGGAGGTGGTGGCCGGATCGCCGCCAATCGTCAGCGTCATGTGAGTCGGCGCACGTGATTTGGAGCACACACACAGTGGCAGGAGTTCGCAGAGAGCGAATTCAGGTGGCAGACCAAGGCCGTATAAGAGGCACCAAGGTAGCAGACAGGAATAATTAGGTGTTGAATGACGGACATGTTTCGAGTGCCAGATGAAAAAATGTGTCGGCAGGTGCTAGCTGGTGTTGGGTGATGTTCGATGGCAGACATGTGTCATTTTTAGTTGGTGTCAAGTGTAGCCAGTATATGTAGCGAAGCACATGACGTTATATGTACATATGTCGATAGGTCGGCCTTATTTCGGCAAGTGTCAGGTGACGGTCATATTTCGACAGTTGTCAGGTGACAGTCTTATGTCGACTAGGTGACAGATGACGGTTATATGTCGACAGGTGTCAGGTGACAGGTGACAGTCGTATGTGGACAGGTGTCCGGTGTCAGGTGACGGACTTATTTCTACAGGTGTCAGGTAGCCGACATATGTCCGGTGTATGTGACGGCCTTATTTCGACAGGTGTCAGGTAGCCGACATGTGTCAGATGACGGCCTTATATCGACAGGTGTCAGATAGCCGACATGTGTCATGTATCAGGTGACGGCCATATGTCAATTCCAGGTGTCAGGTAGCCGACATATGTCAAGTGTTAGTTGTCAGGCTTCAGGTTACGGTTATTGTCGACCGGTGTCAGGTAGCCGACATGTGTCAGATGACGGCCTTCTATCGACAGGTGTCAGGTAGCCGACAGGTGTCCGGTGTCAGATGACGGCCATATGTCAATTCCAGGTGTCAGGTAGCCGACATGTGTCGCGTCACCGAGAGTGGCTCCATCATCAACCCCAGTTCGCGGGTGGCGCTGGTCGGCACGTGTCAGGAGCTCTGTGACGGTCGACTCACGTGGGCGTGGCGCGTCTTTTACGTACGAAACTTCACAGGTGAGTGGGCAGGTCACTACAATGAGTGCCGGGTGCAATACAGGTTAGATGGTGTCTGCTGAATGCCGGGTGTAAACAAGTCACACAGAGTTTGTTAAGTGCTGGGCGCATTAAAGGGCTACACGGTTTTCCACCGCTGTTTCCTGTGCTGCAGAGTATCGAATTCAAGACGGCGATAAGTACATCATCGGTGCCGGGAAACCGTCGGTGGCCGTGAAGAAGGACCTCTACTCTGATTACCCGGATATCGTCGAATTCAGGGTTAAAGTCAGCGTCACCCGACTCAATGTGAGTGTTGGATACGAGTGATAGGAAAGGTATTGCTATGTATACTCGCCTGTCTCCGACGTCTTACACAAAGATAATACAGTTGATTGGATTTCCTAGCCACGTGTTTTTGCGCTGTTTCTCTTTACATTTATGAGGAAGCTGTGCTGCCTCCGCCATAAACCATGAATGTCACAGATATTTTGGTTATAGTCATAATCATGCCTACATAAATTTCACGCCTACAGAATTGTTCTTGCATGGACGTCGGCTTTATTCCGCCTACTAAATGTCATCATAATTAGTTGGATATTCTATGTGTGCGGTGAGTGTGACTTCTAGCCGATCGCTGGGCCGACAGGACGGAGAGACTGGGGTGGCCACCATGTACCTGCTGCTCAACCAGGCGCCCATGGGTGGCACGTGCACCGTCACGCCGCCCGAGGGGCGCGTGGTGAACCTGCGAGCGCACGGCGTGGTGGCCGCAGAGGACTCGGCACAGGCGGCCAACGACACCAGTGCCGGTCAGTTGCGAGCCTGGGAGGGGAGGGATAGAGAAATGAGAGAGGGCGAGAAATGAGAGATGTCAAGTTCAAATTGACTTCAAAGGTACGAATATACTTTAATCGTTGAAAGGGTTGAAAGCAATTTTGCGGCCGATCTTACTGTGGTGGAATTAATAAATATTTCCTTGGAACTCGGTGCTCTTTTCAATCCACTGCTTTACATACTTGTTGCAGATGTTGCATTGGCGAATCTTCCGACGCCTGGTAGAGCTCTGACCGAAGATTGGTATGTTGAATGCATCGACTTCAAAGATCCGGACAAGGACAAAATCGGAAAATACGTATTCTTCAGTAAGTTGGTGAAAATGAGCAACAACTAGCTGCAATGCAACGAGGCATCATTACCTTGATCAACGATCAGCTCTAAAAGAGAAATGTTTGGCTTTTGTTGCTGAGCTTGGTAGAAGGCAAACGAACTCAAACTACGCGTTTTATGTTACTTAAATTAACGTGCTTTAATTATGCTAATTATGTGAGCTCAAATTTTGTCCGTATGTCATTATGTGGCCAAGAATTCAGGTTAGCGAATGTCAATATTTCAATATTATTTGTAAACATTTTCTTACTTTTTTCGTCTGTTTCTTTCTAGTTAAACATCCGATCGAAGGATATATTATCATCATGAAGTTCGGAAAAGACCGGAAGGGCAAGTTCGTCTTTCCATATGGCGATTGGGAGTTATGGATGACCATATCCGATAACTATGACGCTTCCCGTGACATCTTCATCGATCATATAACGGTAAGATCAGATAAATGCAATTAACAAAAGTAAGCTTACTTTGATCATCACAATAATTAGTTTGATACTCTGAATTTTAGTTATGCTTGCGCTGATATTATTTCCTCACACGTTGAAATGTGGTCGAAGTCCTACACGTGAAGAGTGGCTGTGCTAATGTGTCCTCTCGCTCCTCTCCCCAGACGTCGCTGCCAACTAAGGGCGAGTACGCCACCTGGGAGCTGAAAAAGGACGTGCCCCGGGCCATGGGCGAGGGCGACCAGCCGCGACTGAGCCAACTGCTGCAGGCCCGCACGTCTCTGGCCGATATCGAGCTGCCTGACGACCCGGTGGGTGCCGGGAGCGGCACCTGACTGGCAGGGGGCCGGGAGGGGTTCCACACTGCATATTGCTGACATTTTACAATCGAATGCTGGGAAATGGTAGTAACTGCAACGAGCTATAAAAGCTCTATATTGTAAATCCTGGAGCACTGCTGTCTGTTGATAGTATTTTCTTGGAGACCCTGCAGAACTGTGTCTACAAAAGCCTGACCGATCCCTGGCAATGAACACATACAGTGCGCAATGGTCCGTAAGGGCCGAAGCACCTTCTCAACTAAATGAAATGAGAAAAAAATGATCCCTGACCGTGGCTGACAGACGGAGGCCACCACCACTCCGGCCTACGACTACTACGACGAGTCGGTCGAGACGGAGACCATGGACCCTGAAGAGCTGCTGGAGATACAGGCTGAACAGGAGCGAAAACGGCTCGAGGCACTCGACAACAAGGCATTGGTAAGAGGCGTTGGGAGATGTATAGAGCATTGGACCAGAACTCGACCGGTCCGGACTATCCTAAACAGCCCCGGCTGTATGTACAATTCAGTATACTGACTAGTACCATTTCGGACCATTTGACCATATGACCATTTCGGACCAACTCTATCGTTCCTGACCTGCCATCCCACTCGGTCGAAACATTGGGTAGGTATTGTGTTTTTACCAGGGATGCGGAGCCGTGGAAATTTCAGACGGCTCCGGCTCCGGCTCCGGCTCCGGAGAAAAAACTCGGCTCCGGCTCCGGCTCCGGCTCCGGGTGAAATGTTATGGCGGCTCCGGCTCCGGCTCCGAGTAAAATGGTCCGGCTCCGGCGGCTCCGGCTCCGACTCAGTACATCCCCTACGCAATCAATTAAATACGGGTGGAAGAAAAATTGGATTGGTTATACGCGTTACTCTTTGCCATGACCGGCTCACCGCGTCCCCGCGCAAACGCACCTAGGAGAGAACTGGCAGAACAAAGGGCTAGGAAGCGATGGCATTGGAAACGCAGTCGCCGCGAATCGGAGTTCAGTGAACCATCGTAAGCTGACACCCGTCTCGGCTGCATTGGGGGGTGAGGGGTGGGGGGTGTGTGGGATGAGACGGTGCTGGGAGTCGCAGTCCACTGCACTGGTTTGAAAACAATGGCCGTCACCTGATGACTGGTCCTCATGTTCTGGGGATGCAGTAGACGTGGGGGGGGGGGGGGGGGGAAGAGCAAACAGGAAGTTGTTTGCGTACTGTGGGATACTGGGGATATTCGGATTTTTTCATTCACTTGATGGCCCATGACGTAAGTACCATATGTTTTACTGCCTTGTACTGTCAAACCGAACTAGGTCAATTATTTTTTTTCCTCTTCAAAAAATAAAAAGGAGCCGGAGTCGCACCCTTTTTTGGCGGCTCCGGCTCCGGCTCCGGCTCCGGGCTATATTGTTTCACGGCTCCGGCTCCGGCTCCGGGCAAAATATGCCGGCTCCGGCGGCTCCGGCTCCGATTCCGGCTCCGGCTCCGCATCCCTGGTTTTTACCTAATTATTCTATCGGTGGCCCCCTTATAAAACCGTCATGTGGAAATGTGATTTAAGGTGCTGAGATTACTGGTCAAGTAAGAGAGATTATAGTGAGGTGCTAAGAACGATTTCAATGTGAGTAGAAAAGTCGCGAGCTAGAAGAAATGCGTTGCTCAGTATGACGTTTGCACATTGCACAAGCAGGAAAATGCGAACATGATTGTGAATATATATGGATGCTGTTTTTATGAGTAGGGTGATCATCAAATGTTGACTGTGTTGTAATGTGTGCAGGAGAACCGTGAGATGCTGAGCCAGCTGGATAACCTGAACCAGAACACGCTGGACGACTGTACCATGGTGCTGGGCACCACCGGAGCCATCGCCGGTGACGGGAAGGCCCTCGACTCGGCTGGTGAGGCTCGTACTGGCGAGCATTGTGGAATATTTGACGGTGGCACGCAGCATAAATACCACGGGCGGGAAGAGCACATTGCGTGAATCCTGAAATTGGGCGCTGGTACCTCGGTGCCTCCGATGAGCTTTTTGCGCGGTGCAAGTTTCAACTTTGTAACTATTGTACATACCTCTTACTCCCAATATTTGATCAGTTTTATTTTCCTGTTCATTGGAAGAAAATGCCTATTTTTCGCAATCCCATGCCCAGCCTGATATCGTCGTTTGATGTAATTTCCGTCATATCTCTGATACAATGTTATAAATACGCACTCTACTGTCACCAGTCTGTGTCAGAGACGTTAGCCCGTTCGCTGTCGCCCGTGCCACAGGTAAGGACGCGGCCATCGGAGCGATTGGTGGCACGTGCCTGCAGTCGGTGCTGCTGAACGGCACGCTGAACGACCCGCACCAGGCGGGAGGCATGGTCACCAGCAGCCTGGGCAGCGTCACCGCCGTGGGCAAGGTATGTGTCCTCCGCTAGTTTACACAAGGACACCGACAGTGATTCACTGCATGTGCGCCATATAGGTGACTCGAGCCGCGGAATATCTAGTTCCCATTAAAAAGGTTCAAATGTAGTAATTGAAAAAATATACCTATTACCTAGTCTTCTAGTTGCTTCGATACAACTTTCGAAAGCTTCTTCTTGTTGACGTGCATGACTATGCTTTGGAGTATTTTACCGAATAACTTCCTTCAGAACTTCGCATGTACAACTAATTTCCATACCGAGTAGGGCGGCTGTGTCGTCGCGATTGTCCTGAGCCCTCCCTTCCACCTCAGGGTATCGACAACACAAACCTGAACGGCGAGCTGGTGCCGTCGGACATGGCGGCGGCGCGGCGGCGGCGGCGCAGTCTCGACATTCCCGACTACCCGCTCTGTGAGGAGGACGAGGAGGCGGAGCCGACCACACCCGACCCCGACGATCCTGACGCCCTGCCCTGCAAGACGGCCAAAGAACTGGCGCTGCTGGTAAGGGGACGTGTAGCGTCAATGTAGGACGTGTAGCGTCAATACGTGTAGCTGACCTTAGTTGCCTTAGTTTTTAGCGGGGAGACGGAATAGGCGGCGGGGCAAGTGGCCTAACTATACCTTTATCATTGGCGGTAAATTGGTATGTTGAAGTGCTGCCTGTTGCCAACATTTGCTGTCTGCCCTGACTTTTCCCTACCTGGCTTTCGCTTGGTTGTGTCTGAAGTAAAATATATTGCTCTTCGCGCCAGATTGATTTCTACTACCTAGTGTACTTCGTTTAAACGTAAGCAGTGCAAGAAGCACGAGCGCAGCGCTGACCCTTCATATTACTCCACCTACAGGACCAGAAACGCAAAGCGGCGAGCCAGGTGCCAACGATGCTGGAGTCAGTGAAGCAGATGCAGGACAAACTGATGTCGATCGCGCTGCCTGGTGAAGACCCGTTCACTCTGAAGACGCCGGACGGTCTGGAGATGACACTGGTCATGTGAGTAGCCACTGTGCTCAGAGACGCTAACAGAAGCCGCTGCACCGCGGCCTCTGCCGAAGATGTTTCTTCTGTCTTCTATCGGAGTTTCCGTCAAACGCTACTGACGTATCCGACCGGACGTTGCAGGCACTTCGTATTGCTCCTGCCTGTTTTGTAAAGCAAAAGCATATGCCTACCGCTGTCGAGTACTGACCATCCCCATTCTCACGTCTGGCATTGTGCGTCACCAGGATGGAGGGCTGGGCGCTGGCTGGATACCGAATGAGGCTGGGAGAGGCCGAGTATCAGTTCCCCAGCCTGTGCGCCGTCCTGCATGAGGAGGCCAACTGCAGCGCTGCCTACAACATGACCGTCGGCCTGCAGGCCATCAACTGGCCCACGCTGCTCTATGTGAGTGGAAGCGGTTCGTCATATCGGAGTTGACCGTTCCCAATCACTTACTTGTTTGAATTATTTGGTCTGCAAATCCCCATCTTTCCCGTTAGTGGAGCGCTTGTCTTTTCCAACTAGGTACCACAAATAAAGCAAAATGCAGATATACAAACGCTGTTTACTTGCTCAGTATGGGGAACGATACGGTAACTTTACTTGGTAAGGAAACTCAGTTGAGGTCGATTGACCTCAGTTGACCCTGTTGACCTCGATTCCCGGCGCCGTCAGTCGTACGGCGATGGAACGGACGCCGTCAGCAAGGACTCTTCGAACCTGCAGCTGAAGCTGGTGCAGCAGCTGCCGGGCACCACAGAACTGGAGCAAGTGCCCGTGTACGACCTACCCAGTCACCAGCGGGTGCGCATCACCGTCCCGCGCGGCAAGAAGGGCGAGAAACCCGTGCTGCCAGGTGGGTGACGATTGGCGCGGACCGGTGCAGGTACACTGGATTTCTTTTTTTTTTTATTTCTCGTCCTCCACACGGGATATGTTTTCCCATTTATGGGAGGGCTCCTGCTCCTCCTCAGGGCTACGGTGCAAGGCGGGAGCCCACCCCACCCCCCAGTGACACAGTTGGGGACGCCAGTCCGGAAGCCGGGCGGCACCGGGGATCGAACCCGGGTCCTCCCGACCACAGAACCGACGCCTTACCAACTGCGCCACTGGAGCCGCCACACGGGATTTCTCAGTTCTCACCAATATGCGCCACAGCGTCAATAAATGTCATTGTAGCTAGATAGGCGATGTCAACGGAAATTGTTTTAGGGGACACTCGTGCTGATTGATTACGAGCGAGGGAGCGCAGCGAGCGAAGTGAGTCTTTTCAATATAACGGAAAAATCTCAGTATGAGCGGCCCGGCCCGGCCCGGCCCGGCCCGGCCTGTAACGCTTTTAAGAGGCTTATATCTCAGCAACCGCTGGACCGATTGGCCTGCGGTCTTTTTTGTTGGGTAGCCCCATCCCTTCTACCCCGTAATTGACTACTTTTGATACATCTCAGTGACCGTCGTGGCACGTGCCACGTGAAAAGTCAAGGGTGTTCAAGCTGTTTTGCAAAAGAAGTGATTTTGAGAGGCTCATATCTTAGCAGCCGCTTGGGCGATTGACTTGCGGTAATTTTTGTAGGGTAGCAGCATCCCTTCTACCCAAAATAGGATACTCTCGATCGATGCATGTGGGTCACCCCAAGTGCACGTGCAAAATACAACAACGAGAGATGCCAAATTTGTTCCCATTTCAGTAACTCGGTAATTACTGGGGCGATGTCGCTGAAACTTGGCATACAGGTAGGCACCCACCAGGCAATGCATTCCCATGTGTTGCGGTTAGGGTGCTACTGCACGTGCGCACGTGGGGGCGTTTCCAGATCTCGAGAACGGCTGGGCCGATTGCGCTCAAATTTGGTACATGGTTGGGAACCAGTAAGTAGGGTGCCGTGCAAAGGTCATTTTGGACTCCGTTTGCACGTGCAGAATGCCGCTTCCAGATCTCAGGAACGGCTGGGCCGATTGCGTTCAAATTTGGCACACCGCTAGCGACCAGTTAAAAGGGTGCTTTGCGCAAGCCCGTTGGAAGCACCCTCTCGCCCTTCCGCACGTGCAGGGCTCACTATCTCGCTCGCTCGTTCTTCGCCCAAAAGGCGTTTTACTGGTTTTTAAAATGTTCCTTGAAACTTAATCTGACGAGGGAAGTTATGGTTGAAACATGGACGATCACATTGTACCTATCTGAAAATCGCCAAACTCACTCAACGAAAATTATTCTGAACAAGCATATGACTGCTTTAAGAAATAGCTTATCCAAGAAATTTGTGATTAGGCGATCTCATAATAACGTTTGTCCCACATTTGTGTCGTTTTTGACAGACCCGACGTTCGTGGAGCCGCAGCCGAACCCCAAGGAGATCATGGTGTACCACTCGTTCAACGTGACCCACCCGTACGTGGCCATCAACGTGGAGGTGTCTGTGTCGCGACCGGACGCACAGTTAGTCGTCTTCATGAAGCGCGGCAACAAGCCCAACCTGACGCACTACGACTGGGTCTGGAAGGTGCAGCTGCCCGTCAACTTCACCGTGGACAGTGAGTAGTGTGGACAGGTGGTAAAATGACACGGGAAGGAGCAGCTGACCGTCAACTTTACAGTGAATGGTCAGTGGTGGACTAGTGACGGCCTGGGCTCGGGTCTCCCTTGCTGATTAACTGCTTTAAACGAATAAGCTATGCATATACATCCTCCTTGCATATGTTTCCTGGCATCCTTACATGGAAAGGGCGATGGAGCCCGGGAGGCAGTCATTTAGTTCTCGGAAATTGCGGGGCCGTATAGACTAGTGCAAGTACCTTTTTCTCAAATTGGAGTTGACTGAACACAGCTGAATGTTTCATGCTTCACGCATCAATGATGACATTTGGCAATGCTTCTTTTTTCAGTTTCCCAGGAGCCAATGGAAGAGCCGATTCCAATCACGACAGCTGTTCCAATGACCACCATAAGAGGTAGGTGCTGACTCGTCCATCAGCCAAAGGGGAGTTGATGACGTAACCGATTTTTTTGCACTGCCTCCTTGCGATTATAGCAATTACCGTAACGGAAGAACAGACGTAACGAAGATAAATCACCGTAGTAGATTTGTCCAGCTTTGTGTAAACAACATCAGCATTTCATGATGCGTATCAAACACAATGCGGTGTCGCATGTTTTCCGTTCACGCGCGTCTAACGACCGGGCGGCCAGTATGCGACCTTGCGGCGCAGCATAGGTTCAGGCGTAGTCCACTGCTGCCATCTAGCGAGAGCGTTCGAAGTTGCAGTCTGATATGCGGTACAGTATAGCTTGAGGCGTAGACCACTGCTGCCATCTAGCGAGAGTTTGAAGAGCTATAGTCTGCTTTGCGGTGAAGTATATCTTCAGGCGTTGACCACACTTGCCATCTAGCGGTAGGTTTGAAAAGCTGCAGTCGGCTGTGCGGTGCAGCATGAGTGCAGGCGCATACCCCTGCTGCCATTTAGCGAGATTTCAAAGGTGTGGTCTGCTATGCGGTGCAGCATAACTTCAGGCGTAGAGTACTGCTGCCATCTAGCGATAAGGTTCAGAGCTGCAGTCTGCTGTGCGGTGCAGCATACCTAAGTGCAGGCGCAGTTTATTGCTGCCATATGCCAGAGTTTTAGGCTTTACTGTCATGCGGTGCAGTATAGCTTCAGGCAATGATCACTTCTGCCATCTAGTGAGTGATAAGCCGACTGCCGCCGGGCTTGAGCACAATAAAGGTTATAACTTATAAGTACTCCTAAGTTTATTTAAGAACATTATTTTTAAATACTTTGAGGCTTCTCATGCCATCATACTCGTATGTATTTCCACCTTCGTTCAAAAGTTATCGGCTGAAATAGAGAGCTCAACGCCATCACAAGTAACGGTCATCGAAATGTCGCAAGGCAACTGCCAGAAAAAAGCAATTTTCATTCAGTATTTTATATCTGGCACTTGAAGGTGTGGTTGCCGGTCGGGTAGATAAATCTAGCAAAATATTGTCTTTCTATATAACAACGTGTGCTTCCAGGAAAAAAATCAGGATTATGTACTAAAGGCGCTTATTTATAACCCAACTTAGCGCACAAGCGTTCACGTTTACTACCTGATGTGGATCTTTGGCTGTTCACAGTGCCCACCTGTGAGGAACTGGAGGGTGTGAACGCCACACGGGGTACCAACCAGACCTGCATCCCCGGAGCGGTCACCGAGCGTACGTACACCAACCAGCCCTGGCACATAGAATATTTAGAACGTTAAACGATGGGTTACTGATTTGCTGCAGTTAGGTGTGCTGAGCTGTGAGCTGTAACACTGTTTCTCAAGTGTCGGTGACGTGCGATCTGTGTCGGTATCTCTTCAGCGTCGATGATGTTATGACGTTGTCTCTCCAGCGGCGTCACTGATGTGTGACCTGTGTCAGTATAGCTTCAGTGTCAGGTTAGTTACTCGCTGTATCCGTATCTCTCCAGCTTCTGTGATGTGTGAGGAGGACCTCATCACGGTCGGCTCCACCACACCGGCACCGACGACCACAGCCGAGCCGATGCTGGCCCGTATGCGGGGAAACGGACAAGGGCAGGGGAATGGAGGCGGCGGTCAGGACGTCACGTCCACCACAGAGGACCCGACCACGCAGCAGACGGACGTGCAGTGCACGCCCGTGCTGGTGACACCGACACCCACTGACGGATCGCTGCCTGACGCAGAGCCCGTGGAGCCCACCAACTACATCTCGGAATATGTCCGGCTGCGGGTCGGTGAGTCGCCCGGCGGACCCAACCGCACGCTGATTACCCCATACTGGCCTTGAGTTATAACAAGCCTGCTCTCCACGGCTCCAGCCGGTCACTAGCGGCTGGAGGCCAATAATGACCCGATGCCAAATAAAACACCACACTTGCTTATGGAGACACCAGCTGTCACTGCTGCTGGTCTTTTTTCACTGCTGCTGGTCAATCTACAGTGAACCGAGTGTTCACCGGCTGAAGTGTTGAACCAAGTTCTGAAGTCGTATGGCCTGTTTGTCACCGATTGTGCTCGTTTTCAGTGCCGAACCGCGCTCTGGAGCCGTACGACCCGTACGGTAACGACTCGCTGCTGTACTCGTTCCCGCTGTACGACATCTTCGTACCGGACTGGTACGTGGACAACATGACTGGTGAATACTGGATCGGCGTGGCAGAGTTCTCCAACACCACAGACGACGAGGTGAGCCAACGGCGACACAGCATGGGAGTGAGGAATGGAACATCGGACCACGGCACGGCAGCCTGAAATCGCGGAGCCCTACGCAAAAATCTGATATGAGGTAGCACGGATAGATGCCAGGAGATATCTCTAAATAACACATGAGCTCTGAAGAATTCATGCAATGGTGTAAAACCAGTAGAACGATTGGTTGCATTACTGGCTTTGACCAGATTGTACATGATTATTTCTCGTTAGAAAACGTAAAAATAAAGAAGATGTTGAGTTAAGCAGCAGACTGAGCATATGCTGGGCAGCTGATGCCGTCAACATTTATCGAACGCCTCATCAACGCCACGTTGCTATCCTCAGATGTTCTTCGACGACCCGACCTCGGTGAACCTGACCATGTCCAACATGACGCACATCTACTCGACCAACTACACTGTACGGGTGTACACCTCGGGCTGCCTGTTCTACAACACGCTCAGCGACACATGGGACAGCGACGGATGTACGGTGAGATATACCTAGTGTGCCATACGCGGGCAAATACAATTACACACATTACGCTGGTGGTTCCGATGCTCGTTGTTAATTGCATAAGCGCCTCTAAGGAAATCAAGGTATCGACGATGGATTTTTTATGACGCGTAGTTAAAAATGAATGAATGAATGAATGAATGAATGTGAGGACGAAAAGGGCTAACAAACTGACGTTGCGCGTCGTTTGTGGTGCCTCGCCCCTATTTCTGTGGTTGCAATTTTAGCCTTCGTGTCGCCAGGTAACCGACGCCAACCACAAGGCAACGATGTGTTCCTGCAACCATCTGACTTCGTTCGGATCAGGCTTCTTCGTGATGCCCAACGCCATCGACTTCGACTACGTGTTCGCCAACGCCAGTAAGTTTTCGTAGCCCTTTTGTATCAAAATTCAGTGTGGTCGTTGTAACTTGTTTTCCAATAGGATAAGGGAAGGGGCGACACCGCATACGATGCTCGAGTTAGACGTTTATCGCGACGCTTTTCTCTTTTGCAGGTTTCGCCGACAATCTTTCAATATATCTCACGCTGATTATATCGTTCGCCATCTATCTGATTCTGATGTTCTGGGCGAGATGGAAGGATAAGAAGGATGTTCAGCAGGTTGGCGCCACACCACTGCCCGACAATAATCCTAACCACAAGGTAAGCACGTTGCACGTCCATCGACACCAGTTTTCTAGCATCGGTCAATGAAGCCAAGAGCATTGTATTGTACAATTTAACCGTCGCTTGTTCCCGTTACGAACGCTGATGCTGCTGCCGCATCATTTAATGGCATGGTTCGTCACATATGTTCCAAGCTAGCCTCCCTATGGAACTTGCTTTTATCTATCGATAAGTGAAAAATTTCGCCTGATAATTCGTTGAGCCAGAGCCCAGAATCCTTGAGTTGTACTAAGGAGACAAAAGAAATGAAACTGGATTTGACACTACGTTTCCATGACACGTCTAAATCGATTGAGCGAAATTTTACGAAATTATTCAAACGAAAATTATTCACGAAATTTCACGAAAGTATTCAAAGTCCGTGACTACAGTCTACAACTGTTTTCCTTTTGACAGTACCTTTACGAGATACTCATCATCACCGGCAACAAGACCAACTCGGAGTGCGACAGCAAGGTGCAGTTCATTCTGTCCGGCGAGCGGGACGAGACGGACGTGCGCACGCTGGCCGACCCGCAGCGTCCGATTCTGCGCCGCTCAGCCACCGACAGTTTCGTGATGGCCACGGCGCGTCCGCTGGGCCAGCTCAGCTACCTGCGCATCTGGCACGACAACTCGGGCAAGGGCGGCGCCGCCTCCTGGTACCTCAACTTCATGGTGGTGCGCGACGTGCAGACCGGAGAGAAGTGGCAGTTCATCGCCAACAAGTGGTTCGCCGTGGAAGAGGGAGACGGACAGGTGAGCGGGAGAGGGTGTAATAACTCCACTGGGCGAGTACGGGTTGGAAGTGAGATGGAAGAGGAAATGGATAGACGAAGAGGGCGCGAGAAGTTCACTGGGGAGGCGAGTGTGAAAGTGAGATGGAGGAGGGCGGCAAACTATGTACAACTTGACACAGAGACGATGTAGACTGTAGGGGTAGGCCTTAAAGTGGCTCAACTCCTTATTGACTCGGTTGAAAACAAATGCAGTAAAATAAGTGTGACGGTAATTTGGCATCTGACAGGTTGTGGCGCTAGGAACAGTCCTGTCACTGAGGGCGACGGTTCTGTTGCAGATCGACCGTCTGCTGCCGGTGGCCGGCCGGGAGCAGATGCTGCAGTTCCAGCACCTCTTCAACACCACCTCACGCAGGAACCTCTCCGACGGCCACCTGTGGTTCTCTGTGTTCATGCGGCCGCCGCGCAGCCGGTTCACGCGCGTGCAGCGCGTCTCGGCCTGCATGGCGCTGCTGTACCTGTCGATGCTGGTAAACGCCATGTGGTACGGCCTGGTGCCGCAGCAGCCGGGCACCGGCTCCATCTCCTTCGGACCGTTCTCGCTCAGCCCGGAGCAGATCGGAGTCGGCGTCATGTCCAACCTGATCGTGTTCCCGCCGTCCTTCCTCATCATTCTGCTCTTCAGGAAGTCGCGCCCGCGCCACCTCAAAGAGAATCGAATCGAGAAGGCCATCGAAAGTCAGCGTGAGTGTTCAGCAACTGCAACGAACGGTGTCGATGTTGCAACTCTGTGAAGCTGTGCCGTACTTATGATTGCCTTTTGAGCTTTCACAGACCATTCACCTGCGATATTTGATTCCTGGTCTGTCCGTATCCTGGATCTTCACCATCCATTTACCGACTTGTTTCTGTACCATTCATGCTGCTTCCCGTTGTTTTCAACAAAGGACCTCTAGCCGTCTAGTAGTTCGTTGCAGCGTAGTTCATTGCAGCCCTCTGTGCCCCAAACGGCTTCGGCCTGACTGCCGTTCTTATACCGCAGGAAAAGAGCAGCGCGCGTCGGGCAAGTTCCCGGACGCGCCGGAGTCGACTGGAACGCCCCGCAGCGCGGCTCGCAGTGCAGACAGCGACACGCGCAGTGTGGGCAGCGAGTCGCTGGCCGACACAGCTGCCAAGAAAAAGAAGCCCTTCACCCTGCCATGGTCAGCAGTAGTCACCAGTCTCCTCTTGAGCGCGAAATGGCGACGACAGGCGTCTCTTAAATTTGCTTGATGAAATCAACGATTGTAGGTTTACAGTTGATTTGAGGTGCATTATAGCGGTTTGGGATTCTCCAAAAAACATGAGCTCCAAAGATAACTGGTGAAAAAGGTTTACCACAGTCCATGGAGCCAATTTAACTCCCTTGGTTCCCAAACATCAATATAAGCAAACAACGATTAGACGATTCTGAACGACGATGCTGAACTGTCGCTCTCCCTGTCGTTAACCTCGTCAGGTGGTGCGTCTTCTTCGCCTGGTTCCTGACGTTCGCCAGCATGGGCGCCTCCATCTTCTTCCTGTGGGCGTACGGCATCACCTTTGGCAACGAGAAGACCACCAAGTGGCTGACCTCACTGATCATCTCTTTCTTCTCGTCGGTTCTACTCACCCAGCCAATCAAGGTATGCATCAGCTGGGTACTTGTCTATCAATTCACGTAGCTTCGTTTACAAAGCGATGTTTTCGGCGATGTTCCTAAATACGTTACATAGGGACAACTAATAATGCGCCAAGAATGTCTCAGTTGGTCGATAACTCAGCGTCCAGGAGCTGCATCAGACACTGCTGTGGACTCGGCAAGTTCCCGGCACTCAATGGACTTCACTGGGACCTATCCATCCTCAGGTGCTGCTCACGGCTGTTCTGGTCTCGGCCGTCTGTAAGAAGCTGGATGACGGCCACGACGATCTGGACGATGACGAACAGGAGCCAGCGCTGAGCAACGACGAGGAATGGCTGCACGCCGCACGTGAGTTGTGTTAACCCGGAATCGGGCGTCGCAGACAGGCAGATATGGTCCTTCCGTCGGTCTTGATCAGCCATATTGTGGATTAGCATAAGCTATAATATCTATAAATAACTCAATGGTTCATCGAAAAATCAACAATGTCATACATCATTAGTAAAGGCAGGATCTCTCATCTTTCTTCCATGACCCGCAGCAACTGGCAAAAAGAAGAAGGAACGAAAGATTGAATACAAGCCGGTGGATCCAGCCAAAATCGAGGCGGCCAAGCGCGAGCGTCAGAAGGAGGTGAAGATGTGGGACATCCTGCAGGAGATGGCCGCCTACGCCTTCTTCCTGTGGATTCTGCTCACCATCAGCTACGGCTCGCGCGACCCCAACTGCTACCTGATCCGAGAGTCGCTGGAGAACCACTTCCTGCAGCCGGCAGATCCGTGGCTTTCCTACCGGATGGTACGTGTGCTCTTACCCGTAGGCATGTGAACTTTAGGAAGGTAAATTGCCGCAGACAGGTAGTGCTGCGGCAATGAGTGCTCCTATCGGAAGGGAATAGCGAGCCTGACGAGGAGTACCTATGTGCGATCCTAACGGGAGGCATCTGAACTCTTTTCGGGTTCAGATGAGGTATGTAACGCCTCTATCGGGAGGATGAACGATTTTAACCCGGCAGTTGCTGGGGTATTTCGCCACCCACCGTTTGCTGGGGGGGGGGGGGGTCGAGAACCAATAGGCGCAGCGAAACGCACGAGGCGGCAAACGAAAGAACGCGACGAGACGCTTCAGATGAGTACTTTTAAGTTGAATTTTGAGGTCACAGGTCGGGTCAAGGTCAGGTCAAACACCTGAAATCGGGCTTTCAGTAGCATGGACTTCAGGACTTCGCAATGGGCGCCTCTCGCCAGTAACTCTGTCAAAACGGTGCACAATCCATCATATAAGGCCTACAGGAGTGTCAGCTCCATGTAGGGGTCAGTCAAGCATAGTTCAGGGTCAAGGTCAGGTCAACCGGGCAGGCACATATCCCCGAAAATCAAAACTGATATTCGCAGCCTGTGACACATGTTTTATGGGTAGTTCGGGGAGTAGAACACGATGGTGACATTCATTTTATCATATGTGTAGTGTTTGGCTCAAAAAGTTCAATTTAAGAAATGCATGTATCATGGTCGTGAAGTAGTCACGAGAAATTGCCAAGATTCAGTTCAAGATTTTGGAAAATGCGGAACGATAATCAATAATCGAAGATAGCCATTTGATTGTTCATGGTATTGGCAGTCTAATGGCGTTTACGGCATGTCTGTATGTTTATTCTGTGATTTTATATGATTTTTTGAACATATGCCGTTTTTGGTCGAAAACTCAGAAATCATGACGTCACTAAAACCTCGATATCTAAAAAAAAATTCCGACCGATTTTTTTTTTGGAAACTTTGTCACAATAAACTTCAATCAATTCCCTACAGGTACCCAAAATTTGGCGCGCCTGCGGCGCGCCGTTTTTATGCTATGGCCCGGCGAAAAAAGTGGGGGCGTTTAACGCCCCTCCCCCCCAGCAACTCGCGGGTTAAGGGGACGGGAGGTATGTGCGCTTCTACCGGGATTTGCGGGCGCTCCTGTGGGAACGGAACAGCGACCCTTATAGGTTAAAGGGTTACCAATGTAGTAAAAAGAAAATTCCCCTTTCAGGTACGTAATGAGACGCGTTTCTGGAACTGGACGCGTTCAGTGATGGTGCCCGAGTTGAAAATCGATGTCGACTATGCTGGTGAAAAGCCAAAGGGCAAGGAGAAGAAGCTCATCAGCGATAGGGTGCATCTTCTGCTCGGCAATGGCGTGATGCGTCAGGTCCGCATAAGGGAGAAGAGTAAGTACTGTTGGGCATTCGTCAGCCTCACTCCACGGACAGATAATCCGCGATGGTGCCATTAGTGCACTGCTGGTTATGGCCAGTTTCGGAGATGAGCGTCTTGAGCGGTGATTTGTTTTCCACGATGAATGAACTGCGTCCCCGGTTCGGTCTTACGACTTTCACTATAATTTCAGACACATGCCGCGTGCCCAAGGTGATGCGAAATGTCACCCGCGACTGCCACAAGTTCAGCAACTTATTATATGAGGAGAGCGGAGACTTCGGCCTCGGCTGGAACGCCTCTCTGGCCAAAAAGCGGCCGTTTAACCTGAAGGAGTACCGTCACAGGAGCGCCTCCAGCCTGGACTCGTACCCGTTCTGGGGCGACCTCGGCTGGTACGGCGGAGGAGGGTAAGTACTCTGAAGCAGACTGGACAGGGGTACGAAGCGGAACTATGAAATATGGATAGATCCTTCTTAGCCGTGCGACTCCGTGTTACACAGTAAGCAGCAGAGGGAATGTGTTTTATGGCGTAATGAAATTCAAAAGCAGCACGTCTCACTGTGTGTGTAAATTTGTGTTTTCAGATACGTGGTGGACCTGAAGGGCAGCCGAGCTCGTCTCATCAGCGAGATGTGGCGTCTCCAGGAGCAGCGCTGGATCGACGAGAAGACGCGCGCCGTGTTCATCGAGTTCTCGCTGTTCAACCCGCAGGTCAACCTGTTCGTGGACTGCACCATCGTGGCAGAGTTCAGTCCGGACGGTACGTGCGCAGAACGCGGGGCCAGTCAGGGCGAGGGATATTTCATACTCACTAGCGAGCCAGTGGTTTACGGTTCCGCAACAGGGAGACATGACTTGCGATGTGACCCCATCCTGGAGTAATCGAGCCATTTGCCAGTTCCCAGCTGCCAGATTATGAAATTGACATGCTTGTTACAGGGAGTTTGAGAAATCCGTGAGTTTGCAAACTCCCTAGTGAGTTTGCAAACTCCCTGACCCATCAGTGAGTTTACAAACTCACTAGGGAGTTTACAAATTCACTAGGGAGTTTGCAAACTCACTGACCGGCCAGGGAGTTTGAGAAATTTCAGAGTGATTGGGCCAAATAAAAACAAGTGTGCAGCATGTGGGTGGCATACGTGCCGTCCGTGATGTTAAAACAAAGGAGGCTAGCTCTAAGGTCTCGCACGCTGACAAAAAGCTTATAGATCATATGCACACCATAATACCTTTTTTATTTTAAACTGCTCAGTGATTTACCCGTGCATGTACCGCCGCTTTATTTAGTTATACATTTATTTAGTTCACGTCCCAATTAGACCCGTTCCACTCAAGTGTGGCTATTCCAGAGTCAGGCTAAATATATCAAAGTAGAAACAGCTCACTGTTGGTCACTTATGCTAAAGTACAGGCACACGCATCAATTCACGCCCATTCCCACTCCGCCATAGACGTGTCATCGAGAGCCGGCGCTGCTGGCAGCCTGCCCAGCTGCGACTGGCGCACGCTGCTTGTTTGTTTTTGTTTTGTTGGGTTAGGCCCTTTCGGTCTGACAAGACCATTTCAGAGTCGGACGAATGGTAGGAATTATAGGGGGAGACATTGGTCTGGGCAGACACCCTATATGCAGAGTCGCCGGGGCTGAGCCCGTCCGAATTGACAGACCGACCAGCCCCCCAAGCACTCTTTGCACCCGGCTACGGGGTGCGCTCCCTCGGGAGCAGCGCTGCCGCTCCAAGGGAGCAGCCCGCATGAGATAAAGGTGTCCAGCCCAGAGTGGGGGTTTCGGCGTGGACGAGAAGGATTTCAGTATCCTGATTCCTGAGGATGGAAACGACAGAACGGAGGAGCACGTTGCTCCGAACCTCCCCTTTACATAGCCGCGAGTAGCATTTTTTTTTCGGTAAAACAATGAAGGATCTGTAAGCTTTTTGTCAGCGTGCGACGGTTATATAGGCCGTACCACTAGTCGCTTTTGTTTTAACATCACGGACGGCACGTATGCCAGCCTCATCTTACACATTTGATTTTATTTGGCCCAATCGCTCTGGAATTTCTCAAACTCCCTGACCGGTCAGTAAGTTTGCAAACTCCCTAGTGAATTTGCAAACTCCCTAGTGAGTTTGCAAAGTCACTGATGGGTCAGGGAGTTTGCAAACTCACTAGGGAGTTTGCAAACTCATGGATTTCTCAAACTCCCTGTAACATACTTACTCATTTCAATGACGAGGACAGTATTTCTTTGACATTTATGACTTGCCGATTTCAGGTGGAATAACTCCCTTCTTCAAGTTCAAGCCACTGAGACTGCTGAATTACAACTCCGGCTTCGGTCTCTTTGTCCTCATCTGCGACGTAAGCCAATTCTGAAGGCTCCAAGTTGCACTCTTGTATGACTCACGCTTCCCATGTAGCGACTTGTAATTATGCACTCTTATCGCATTAATCACCATAAATTGTTATAGTATCTTTACGTCGCTTTTTAAATCTTATCTCATATTCACAGGTAATTTCCATTATGCATCTTGGGTCACGGGTGTGTGATAACCGCCACCTGTCGTTCTAGGTGTCGTTTGTCATCTTCATCATATACTACACGGTGCGTGAAGTGAAGAGGGCTAAAAAGCAGAAGGGCGAGTATCTGAATGACCCGTGGAACTACCTAGAGCTGACGGTTATAGTTCTGGGCTACACGGCTATCGTTTTCTACCTGTACAGGTAAATGGTTTCCAGCATTTGTACTATATAACTATGTAAGGGCAGAAAAGATAACCTCAAATATAAGGCATTCCCCATGGAAGAAAATGAGAGCGCTTTATCACCCGAACATAAATTGCACGTATTCGTTCTTCACAAATAATCATTTTTAAGAAAGTATCAATATTTATAAAAGTCGCTGTTTGACTGAAATAATCATTTTTAAGAAAGTATCAATGTTTATAAAAGTCACTGTTCGACTGAACTAAACATATTTGTTAACAAATTGTTTCGCATGTGTATGTACATCTTACCAGCATAATTTGATTTTCAGGATGTTCCTTGCGAACGGAATCGTGGACACCTACGATAAGACGAAAGGAAGAGGTTACATCAAGCTGCAGCAAGTTTCGTATCTTGACGAGGTGAGAATTAGTGAGAGTTGCTGTTTGAAATTGAGGAACGTGTAAGGTCGATGAACCGTGGACATGGTAATTGGTAGGTACTCGACGATACTTATAATTATAACCAAACAGGCTTGCCTTATATTTTTTGTCAATTTTGGATTAAAGTACTGGGAAAACAGCGATGCAGATGAATTAATGCCTAGTGATTCTGATGAACTTTATTATTATTACAACGATTTGTGTAGTAAATGTCAGTACGAGCTCCGCGTTAAATGTATATTTCAATGTGAGTGATTGAATGTTAAAAACAACTTAACAAGACGCAAACAAACTGAACAAACTTAACGCAAACTGAACTAGTGCCTTTCACTTTTCAGCATCATCGCTCTCATAGGCCTCATACCGTATATCAGGTCATCTAGGTCTGTTATAGCTTCGCTCACTAGTTCCCTACTTCAGGCTTTCATTCCGTCATCCTTGTCGCTCTTGCCGCACAATCGAATTCTATCCTTTGTCGACCTTTCCTCAAATTTCTATCAACTTCCCGTCTTTTCATCGTTTGGAGATTATGTTTGCAACTCTTCAAAGGTGACAAGGCACGCATTCGTGATTCACCTCTTGACAAAATGTTGGACAATGTCGATGGGTAGCGGGAAAATTATTGTAGAGTTCTTTTCAGCGGCGATGGCGTTTAGCGTCTGCAGGTAGCGTAGCTGAAGCGCACTGGGGCTATCGGACATCACCTCGGCAGCCTCCTTCAGGGCTCGGGACGCGGTCAGCTCGCCCTCTGCGGCGATCACCTTAGCGCGCGCCTCGCGGGCCGCCTCGGCCTCGGCGGCCATGGCGCGCTGCAGCTGCACGGGCAGACGCACGTCCTTGATCTCGACCCGGTCCACCTTGACGCCCCATGGGTCGGTGGCCGTGTCCAGGCTCTCCTGCATGTGAGCGGCGATCGCCTCCCGGTCGCTGAGGATGTTGGCCAGCGCGCGCGTGCCCAGCGTGTTCCGCAGCGTGGAGGCCGCCAGGAAACGGGTCGACAGCGAGAAGTCGGTGACGTTGGCCACAGCCATCACTGGCTTGGAGACGCGGTAGAAGACGACGGCGTCCACGGAGACGGTGACCGAGTCCCGGGTGAGCAGCTCCTGCGGCGGCACGTCGAACGAGACGACGCGCAGGTCCACTAGTCGGTATCTTTCGACCCAGGGGATGAGGAAGAACCAGCCGGGCCCGAGGGCGCCGCCGGAGCGCAGCCGGCCCAGCCGGAACACCACGGCCCGCTCGTACTCCTGCACCACGTGGATGCAGAACCACACGGAGACGGGCAGCGTGGCCACGATCAGCACCCAGGCCACCAGAACGACCACCATCGTGAGCGGGTCGTCCGAGTCGCTGCCGACGACGCTTGGAGGAGGATCAGAGGCCGCCGGCCGCACTTGTCCAGAACTCTTGCCCATGTCGACAACTGTATCATCACGATCACCGGCGAGGTCTTTTGCTGAAGACTGCTTCGTACTCACAGATGCCATCGGATGTCAATGACAAACGCCAATTGCTTTGCTATGCTTGACCTCCAGGCTCTCGAGCTCTTTAGAACTTAATTTATAAACGTCTCTCTTTGAACTGTTGGGTTGAAATTTTGCGATGAAGAATTTGTAATTATTTCGCTGTCCTCATTTGCATTTTTCTCCCCAAAAAGAGGTACAAATGATGTGATTAGGAACACATGTTTACGGATTTCTTCTACGTGGACGCAGAACGGAAAGTTTTAACCTACTGTTACCCGGATAAGCCGGGACCGAAATAAACAGGTCTCGGACTTGGCGCTGGGGGGCCTGGATCAAAGTTATCTAGAAAACGAGAAAACCGTTGAGGACATTTTATCGCTTTGGGATGACCTATTTTGATCCCTTTCTTCTGCTCGTGCTATCATTGCGCTGGAACCAGCATTTTCACAAACATTCGTCCAAATTTAATTAGCAAAAAAAAAAAAAAACGCCAAGTGATCATGAAACCTCTTTTACGGATTGCATGAAACATAAAGCACGAAATGGCGCGAAGGACGGCACCTTTTCACACAACACTGACACCTCTGCCCATTTGTGTTATAGACTTTCGGCTACATCATCGGCTTCTTAGTGTTCTTCGGCACACTGAAGTTCATCAAGCTGCTCCGCTTCAACAAGCGAATGGGATTCCTGACATCGACACTGAAACAATGCGCTGGCGATCTCTGGGGATTCATCATTATCTTCTTTGTGGTAAGCTAAAAGAAAAAATAGCCGCTGACGTTTGCAATTCATGTCCCTTCAGGCTTACGTGTTAGGTGGTACACACATTCTTCACGAAGACGTTAAAACTACTATCCTAAAAACCCACAAAGTAGGCCAAGTACGTATACTTAGTGCTGTATATACCTGCCTGCAACCGTTTCATTTCATTGTCAACTTTTCTTTGCAGCTGTTTGCATCGTTCAGCTTTACATTCTTCCTCCTGTTTGGCTTCGCCACAGAAGATTTTGCGAACGTCATCATAAGCATTGAGTCATCCTTCGCTATGATGCTAGGTGAGTGCGCGTGGCCGTGCACTTTAACTTCTCAGCACTACTTATCGTTAATCGGCGACGACATAGGTACTTATAGGGGAGAGTGGGGTAATTTGGCCGGTGGTGTAAATTGGCCGCCCCCACCTGTACGAAAGCTGATAAAAGTGAATGAAATATCTTAAGTCTCTATTCATTTGTCATCGGTAGAACTAACTTGAGAACAAATGTCAAAATTTTCCCCCTCTTAGTTTTATTCAAAATTAATAAAAGGTGAACTTCGTTAGAAAATGGTAACTTTTACTTCCCTTTAAAAATTTGTATAACATGTAGTATTTGGGCTTTAAACGAATTCCAACATTATATCGCCATTTTTGAGGGTGTTCAGCGGTTCCAAGAGCAATTTCATCTAGTTCTGTACAGCCATGACGACTTTATAGACAAAAATTTTCATAATGGCAATGTGGGGTTATTTGGCCGGTGCGCTCGGAGTCACTATGCTGGGACGGCCGAGTTGTCATAGTCAATTATACCATAAAGGACATAATTCATGACCAACTTTGACTACCTTGATGCCATATTTCCTATTGGACAGCTGTAAGGGCATGTGACGTCATCAAAAGTTACCTAACGCTTTTTTGCTAATAAATTCTTACAGAAAAAGATACAGCCGCGCAAATGGTCTCATTGTGTTCAGCTCGTCAAGGCGCATCGAATGATATACATGATGACCTTGAACTCACGTAACCTTGAGGTCAAGCGACCTGAGGTAGCGTGACCTGAAGCCAACCTTTGACCTTGACCCCTCGAGGTCAACACATACATGTTTCGATGCGGAATGACGAGAGAATTACGATGGTACTTTTAGTTTTGGCCTAGCTTGATTACTTCAAAAGCTATTCGTAAAAAGCTGTCATCGCATCTAAAGCCGCTATTTTGACTATTTTCGACCACTGTGACGGCTGAGTCAACCTCCAAAATGCTTCAAATGCGTCGTAGGACACACGTCATTGCTGAAAGTAAAGCTGACTCGCCTATAACAAAAATCATGGCCTCAAACTAACACCGGCCAAATTGCCCCACACCCCCGGCCAAATAACCCTGCTAGTGGGGCGATTTGGCCGCTTTGCAGACCTTTGTAATACATCACAATTTCAATATAAATAGTTAATCTATCATTTCAAGTTTACTGTCCAAGAAAGTAAAATGTATGCCACACCTGTCAGCGTTGAAAAATGCAGAAATGTGTTGTCGATTTTTAGTTACATCGTTTTCTAAAACAAGCGGCCAAATTACCCCACTCTCCCCTATCTCATCTATGCATGATATGACTTATGGGGACAGATCAATGCACGCTATACCATAACTGATATTGCGAAGATAGTTCTGACTGATTGGACAATATTTCAGGGAAGTTCAACTTCGCGGAGATACAGCAGGCGAATGCGGTGTTCGGACCCGTGATGTTCTTCACGTTCACCATTTCTATGACATGCATCTTCATCAACATCTTCCTCACCATCATTATCAAGAGCTTCCAGGCCGTGAGTTATTATGCAAAATGCATTATCTGCGTAGTTGCGTGTGTAGTGTCGGTAGCCATCTACTATGGAGTTTTCACTTGCATAATGCCTCAACCGATCAACCACAATTCTATTGGGATTATGTCGCGTGCGTTGAAAGATTGGTCTCCTAATTAGGTACTACAGAGGATGAGAGGAGCATGATCTTTGCTGATACCTATTTGCTAGAAAATCCACAATATGATATTAGCTGGAAAAGGTCGCAAAATCCCAATTAGTTAGGTACCGGCTTTGGAATGTAAGAAGGCTACTCCGCACAGTACCTATTCCTTTGCGAACTGCGAACGCAACGCGGTAAAATGCTTCAGTAGCAAACAGCGGCAACGATACTTGAATAACTAACTTGGATCTTCTAGCCGCCAACGTTATTCGCATCACAAGCTCGGCTACTGTTCCCTTCAAACACCACAGACCAGACGGCGACATGGTTATGGACTGTTCACAGGTGAAGAACGACCTGGTGAAGCAGGGCAACGAGTACGAGGTCATCGACTTCTTGGTCAACCGCATGAAGCTGATGACCGGCATCGGCAAGCCGAAAATCAACGCCATCGGACCGCTGTCGGCAACGGACGGCGATGGAGACGCGGTGAGTACGGCGATCATGAGGAGCTGAAGTGTCTGAGGTCGAGCCCAAGTCGGTCGGTCGTCCTGTCCTCCCCGGATTGTTCTGCCAGCGTTATTTGGATCCTAGTCGCCGGGCAATCCTGCCTAATTCATCTACCTTTTTGCAGGGCAAGGACCCATCGGCTCAGTTTCCTGAGAAGGTGGACCAGCTGCTCAATCACGTCAACGACTTCTACTTCGACGGCAAGATGAACTTCAACAACAAGGCCTGGCTGAAGAAGACGCTCTCGGTAAGCACTGCAGTCTCCACTGAGCGCAGAGCTGCTTTGGTCCAGTGTATTGGTCAATCTAATGAAAACTTGCGAGCAGTAGGTAATGGAAATACTTAGCGCTTACACCCATTATATTTCTCTTTTCTTTTGAATAATGTTTGTGGTGTGCTCTCTTCCAGGGATCTGGTGACGATCATAAGTCGCACCGCCCGCAGGAACCATCTGATGAGTAGGAGCAAGTGGCCAGAACAGAGATCCTCACGCCTACCGATATCATGCAGACTCAGGACATGCTCAGGATATGACGAACCGTGTGGTTATGTACGCGTGTGCATGCGGATATGCAAGCCCGTGTAAGTTTTTGTGCCTTTTATTTATTATTTTTTTTCTCGTACAACTATTTATTTTGTCATTAACCCGGCAGTTGTTGTGGTATTTCGCCACCCACCGTTTGCTGGGGGGGGGGAGGGGGCGTTAAACGCCCCCAGCAGATAACTCGAGAACCAATAGGCGCAGCGAAACGCAAGAGGCAGCAAACGAAAGAACGCGACGAGACGCTTCAGATGAGTACTTGTCAAACACCTGAAATCGGGCTTTCAGTAGCATGGACTTCAGGACTTCGCAATGGGCGCCTCTCGTCATAAACTCTGTCAAAACGGTGCACAATCCATCATATAAGGCCTACAAGAGTGTCAGCTCCATGTAGCGGTCAGTCAAGCATAGGTCAGGGTCAAGGTCAGGTCAACCGGGCAGGCACATATTCCCGAAAATCAAAACTGATATTCGCAGCCTGTGACACATATTTTATGGGTAATTTGGGGCGTAGAACACGATGGTGACATTCATTTTATCATATGTGTACGTGTTTGGCTAAAAAAGTTCAATTTAAGAAATGCATGTATAATGGTCGTGAAGTAGTCACGAGAAATTGCCAAGATTCAGTTCAAGATTTTGGAAAATGCGGAACGATAATCAATAATCGAAGATAGCCATTTGATTGCTCATGGTATTGGCAGTCTAATGGCGTTTACGGCATGTCTGTATGTCTATTCTGTGATTTTATATGATTTTTTGAACATATGCCGTTTTTGGTCGAAAACTCAGAAATCATGACGTCACTAAAACCTCGATATCTCAAAAATTTTCCGACCGATTTTTTTTTTTAAACTTTGTCACAATAAGCTTCAATCAATTCCCTACAGGTACCCAAAATTTGGCGCGCCTGCGGCGCGCCGTTTTTATGCTATGGCCCGGCGAAAAAAGTGGGGGCGTTTAACGCCCCCCCCCCCCCCCAGCAACTCGCGGGTTAAATGCCTATGAATATGTTGTCTATTTTGAATGTCACGAATAAAGCATTGCACTATGTTTCTTGTTTCTTTAGCTGAGTTTGAAGGCGATCACACTTCCGCCTCCCAAATAGCTGGTTGGTCGATGCTCAACAGGCTTATCAGTAATCATCAGCCATCGCCTATTGGCATATGGACGGAATGGGGGACGGCCAGGCAACGAGGCGACCTCTTCTGGAACTCGACAGCGACATGGAGTCGAAAGATCCGTGCACTCTGCAGTCCGTGTGTTGTATCGTGAGCCTGGCTACGCGTAGTTCAGTTAGCGACCGCCAGGTGGAAACCGGTCGCCGGTTGTGCGGCAGTCGGCCGCCGGCCCGCGCAGGGCGCGGATGTGTTTTGCTTGGCTGTGCGCCAAGTGGGCGCGCAATCGCAGACGCGGAATAAAGAACTCACATTATATCAAATTGGCGACGAGGATCAGATCAAGGTGAAGCCTTGGAGCTGTGATTGCGAGTGATGGCGAAACGGACCGGTGATCAGTGCGCGGTGGTCAGCGAGGGCGGACAGGCCACGGACGGTGAGGGCGCAAGCGTTGCTTAGTACGAATGCTTAGTGCTTAGTATTGCTTAGTATTTTTATTTTCGCGCTGCTGCTGGTAGTCTGTCTGTCGCGCGGCGGCCGTGGTCGTGGCAGGATTTCCATGTGATCGCCATTTGTGGCGGCCATGATGCCTCGGCAGTGTGGTGTGCGTGGCGCATGCGTCGGCGTGCTGCACGCTGATTGGTCGGCCGGGGGTGACGCGCAGCTGTGGCAGCGCGTGTGATTGGCCGATTGGTGCGGCGGGGAGGGCCTCAATGCGGTTTGAGGTGCCTGGTCCCCAAGCGGATAATTTCGGCGGGAAGCTGGCGCGCGGCCGGGCGGTTCGGGACGAGTGCGCATGCGCGCGCGGTGACGTGCGTGTGACGTCACTACCACGTGACTCCCCCGTCGAGTAAAGCGCGGGAAACCGCAGCCGGCAGCGCCAAGACGGGCGCAGGGCGGCGCGGTGAGCGGTGACGGTCGGCGTGAGCGGTGGCCGACCGGCGTGAGCGGTGGCCGACCGGCGTGTGCGGTGACCGGCCGGTGTGAGCGGTGATGCCCGGGGCGGGCCGACCGGTGGAGCGGCGGCGGGCCGACCGGTGAAGCGGCGGCGGGCCGACCGGTGGAGCGGCGGCGGGCCGACCGGTGAAGCGGCGGCGGGCCGACCGGTGAAGCGGCGGCGGGCCGACCGGTGGAGCGGCGGCGGGCCGACCGGTGGAGCGGCGGCGGGCCGACCGGTGGAGCGGCGGCGGGCCGACCGGTGGAGCGGCGGCGGGCCGACCGGTGGAGCGGCGGCGGGCCGACCGGTGGAGCGGCGGCGGGCCGACCGGTGGAGCGGCGGCGGGCCGACCGGTGGAGCGGCGGCGGGCCGGCCGGAGGAACGACGCGCTGGTGAGAGCACGGCAGCGTGATGGATCCAACGGGCATGCAGCTGGTGTCTGCGGGGCCGTACCGGGCAGGCACGGACTTCGAGAAATGGCTGCGAGCGTTGGAGCGCTACATGGTCGCCATGGACATCCAAGGGCCTACCAGACGGTGCGCCGTGCTGCTACACCTGGTGGGGCCTGACATAGCCGATGTCAGCGACTCCCTGCCGGAAGAGGAGGCAGAAGGACCGGAGGAAGACGAGTTCACCCGGCTAAAAAGGAAGTTGGTACGGTACCTGGTGCCAAGGAATAACGTCGTGGCTGAACGAGGGAAATTCCAAGGAATGACAATGGAGCCGGAGGAAAGCCTGGAGGAGTTCCTGGCCAGGCTACGGACCCAAATCCTGCGCTGCGGCTACGAGCCGGCGCAGGTGAACCGGGAGCTGCGAGACCGCTGCGTCCTGGGCAGCCGAGGCGAGCTGCAGCGGAAGCTGGTGAGGGAAGCGGCACTGAAGGGCGACGAACTCAACCTGGAGGATGTCCGGCGGACGGCACGCGCCCACCGGGACGTCATGGACCTGACGACTCGGTTGTCAGGGGCGCCGGTACCGGCTGCGACGGACGGGGAGGCAGTCCAGGTGGTGAGACGCCAGCGGCGGGCGGAGACGGCCAGGCCGGCCGAGCGCCCGGGACCGGGCTCGTGCTTCGGCTGCGGAGGCCGGGGACACTGGCGGCGGGACTGTCCGACGGCCAGGGCGGACTCGGCGCCGGAGAGGGCGCGCCCTCCGGTGGCAGGAGCGGTGCAGCAGCGCGGAGTGTCTCGCCCGCCCGGCCCGGCAGACGGCGGTCGGCGAGACAGCAGACGCGGCGGACCGCTCGAGAAGAGGAGGTGCTTCAAATGTGGCAGAACTGGACACCTGAAGCGGGACTGTCCAGGAATCGGACAGGTGGCGTCCGTGGAGGAGGATGTCGTGATGACGGTGGCGCAGCTGACGAGCCAGGACCGGCTGCCACTGGTAACTCTGTCTGTCAACGGCCGGGAGACTGAGATGCTGGTTGACACCGGGTCACCAGTGTCGATCGTGGCGGACGGCAGCATCCCGGGACTGAAGCTGAGACCGTCCAAGATGCAGCTACGCTCGTTCACGGGTCAGCCGGTGCCGGTCCGCGGCGAGGCGACCGTGCAGGCGGAGTATGGCGGCCAGCGGAAGCGGCTGAACGTGGTTGTCAGCGGTCAGCTCCGACACCACCCGCTGCTGGGGCGCGACTGGCTGCGTGAAATACGTCTGGACTGGCGGTCGCTGCTGCAGGTCAGCGAGGCCAGCAAAGTGAGCGGCGGGCGGACGCTGAGCTCAGTGACGGCGGCGCACGCAGCAGTGTTTGCAGGGGGCCTCGGCACGATGGAGCAGCGCGCGCACCTGACCCTAAAGCCGGACGCGGTGCCGCGGCGGCTACCACCGCGACCAGTACCGTACGCGCTGCTGCCGCAAGTGGAGGCCGAGCTGGACCGATGGGTCAGAGACGGGATAGCAAGAAAGGTCGACCCGTCCGAAACCAGTACAGGCTGGGGCACGCCACTGGTTCCGGTGCCGAAGCCGGGAGGCGGGGTGAGGCTCTGTGCGAGCTACAACCTCACAGTGAACCCGCAGCTGATCGTCAAGCACCACCCGCTGCCGAAGCCGGAAGATGTGTTCGCAGGGGTGAGTGGCAAGCTGTTCTGCAAGCTGGACCTAAAGCATGCGTACCAGCAGATGCCGCTCGATGAGGAGTCTCGAGCAATGACGACCGTCAGCACTCACAAGGGCGAATTCGTCATGAAGAGACTGCCGTTCGGGGTCGCCAGTTCCGGTGCCCTCTTCCAGGAGGCCATGGACCGGGTCCTGGAAGGACAGGAGGGATGCCGGTGTTACCTGGATGACCTATTGGTGTTCGGAGCGGACGAGCAACAGCTGCTGCAGCGGCTGGACGAGATCCTCGGAAGACTGGAGCGGCAGGGCCTGCGGCTGGCGGCGCAGAAATGCCAGCTGGCGGTGCCAGAAGTCGAGTTCCTGGGGTGGAAGGTGACGGCTGAGGGCATCGCACCGACTGACGGCGGTGTAGCAGCAGTGCTGCAGGCACCGGAGCCGACGGACGTCAGCCAACTGAGGTCGCTCCTGGGCTCCATCACCTACTTCGGGCGTCTGCTGCCCGATCTGTCGACAGTGCTGGCGCCGCTCTATCAGCTGACCAAGAAGGGCGTGCCGTGGGCATGGACAGAGCAGTGCGCCAAGGCGGTGGAGAAGGTGAAACGGATGCTGACTAGCCCGCCGGTGTTGATGCGGTATGACCCGGACCTGCCGCTGAGGCTCGTGACAGATGCCAGCAGTGTGGGTGTCGGCGCGGCGCTGGTTCACGTGACACCGGACGGGGCGGAGAGGCCGGTGATGTATGCGTCACGGACGCTGACGCCCACAGAAAGGAAGTACCCACAAGTCGAGCGCGAGGCAGCGGCGGTGTCATTCGGGATAACCCGCTTCCATCGGTTCCTGTACGGGCGGCCTTTCACGCTCGTGGTGGATAATAGGGCTCTATCCCGGATCCTGAGCCCGGACAGAGACCTGCCGAGCCTGGCGGCTGCCCGCCTCCAGAGGTACGCGCTGCAGCTGGCGGCGTACAGCTACGCAGTGGAGCTGCGCCGGTCCGAGCACATGCACATGGCCGACAGTCTGTCGCGCCTGGCCATGCCGTGCTCGGGTGTCGAGCGAGAGAAGATCGACAGAGAAGGAGCCGACGTCAGCTTCCTGTGCTACATGGACGGCGCGGCGCCGGTGCTGACGGCAGAGGCGCTTGCGTCAGCAACGCGGCGCGATCCAGTGCTGGCCAGGGTGCTAACGTTCGTCCGGTGCGGTTGGCCGGCTGAGGTCGAGCCGGAGCTGGTGCCTTTCAAGCGGCGCCAGGACGAGCTGTCGACGGATGGCGAGTGTCTCGTGTGGGGCGGCCGTGCTGTCATCCCACAGCAGCTCCGGGCGCGGGTGCTGCGTGAGCTGCATGAGGGGCACCTTGGCAGCTCAAAAATGAAAAACTTGGCTCGGCGATATGTGTGGTGGCCGGGGCTGGATGCAGAGCTCGAGGGCGCGGCACGCGATTGCGCAGAGTGCATGGACAAGCGAGGAGCGCCGCCCCACAGTGATCGGCACCCGTGGGAGCCGGCCGGAGGCCCGTGGGAGCGTATCCACATAGACTATGCGGGCCCCTTCCAGGGCTTGAACTTTCTGGTGGTGTGCGACAGCTATACCAAGTGGCTGGAGGTGATCCCGATGCGAGAGACGGGCACAGAGAGCACTGTGAGAGAGCTGCGGGCGATGTTTGCGCGTTTCGGCATCCCCCGCCAACTCGTGTCGGATAATGGTGCTCAGTTCACCTCTGCTCCGTTCGCTGCATTCCTGAGCAACAATGGAGTGCGGCACGTCAGGGTGGCACCATATCACCCAAGCAGCAACGGAGCGGCGGAGCGGGCGGTGCAAACGGCCAAGAACGGACTGAAGGCGGCCCTGCGGGATGGTGGTTCTCTGTCACAGCGGCTGCAGAAGTTTCTGCTGGCCTACCGGGCGGCACCGCACTCGGGCACGGGACGATCGCCAGCCGAAATGATGTTCGGCCGGAACGTGCGGACGCGGCTGGATACGCTGCGGCCCGATCCGATGGACAGGTTTCGGGATCAGCAGCAACGGCAACGGGAGGCGGCAGGCGGCCGGCACAGGGAGCTGAACATCGGAGACACGGTGTGGGCTAGATGTTACAGCGGCCCGCAGAAGTGGAGACTGGGGACGGTGGCCGCACGGACCGGACCGGTGTCGTATGAGATAGCTGTTGCCGATGCTCTCTGGTCGCGGCACGTCGATCAACTCATCAGCGCGGAGCCAGTGCGGACCGGCCAGCGGGCGGCCGCCGCCGGGACGGTCGTGCCAGCGGCGCTCGGCGAGCCCGGTGCTGGCGCCAGCGGCGGCGCGAGGACGGCCGTGCCGGCGCCGCCCGGCGCTGCCGGCAGGATCTCCAGTGAAGGCATCAGGTCGGCTGTACCGGGGGCGATCGGCGGGGCCGGTGCCGGCGCCAGCGGAGGCGACGGTGGAGACAGCCGAGTGGTGACACCCCCAGCGAGCGGATTCACAGAGTGTAGCGGCGACGCAGCGGATCTGTATCGGGCTGGTCGCCCTCGGGCGAGCGGTGGAGAGACGGTGAGCGAGGCCGAAGGAACAGGTTGCGCGCGCGGTGGCGCTACTGACGGACCGCCGGCAGCGGTGAGCGGTGCTGGTGGGACCGGCGGCGCGCGCGGTAGCAAGCCTAACGCTTCGCCGGGAGTGGTGAGCGGCGCCGGTGGGACAGGACATGGCGCGCGCGGCGGCGATTGTAAAGGACCGCCGGCAGAGGTGCGGCGGCGGTTATCCGTGCGTCACTCTCAGCCACCGAGGAGGTGGATAACTGAGATGTGATCGGGTGGGAAAATACGTGATTTTACGGAGATGTGATCGGGCGGAAGGATCGAGCGGAAGAATATGTGATTCCGTGTGTCAATAGGTGCCACCGATAAGGTGGATAACAGATGTGATTGGCCAGGGAAAGTGTGGGTCAATTTGTACCGCCGAGAAGGGTGATGACTGATTAGTTATTATCGTTTGGAAGTACAGACTGATAAGCAGTGTAAGGGCAGACGTGCGCGACTCTAAAGTCAGTGAATTTGTAGTTATGTTCGTATCGCACGGATGTGAGCGATGTCAGTGATCGCACTAAAATAGGCGGCAGTGTTGACGCTGTAAGTGACCGGACTGGATTTGACTAGTTTGTGGTGGCTCGTAGGTTGAGTAAGTTATGTTTGATAGTTCGATGTTCGAACTCAAATCCAGGGGGGCAGGGTGTTGTATCGTGAGCCTGGCTACGCGTAGTTCAGTTAGCGACCGCCAGGTGGAAACCGGTCGCCGGTTGTGCGGCAGTCGGCCGCCGGCCCGCGCAGGGCGCGGATGTGTTTTGCTTGGCTGTGCGCCAAGTGGGCGCGCAATCGCAGACGCGGAATAAAGAACTCACATTATATCACCGTGATGGCCGAGAGTAACACGAACAGTTAACTGTTGTGCTGCGTTTATTTCCTGTGCGTGGGAGACAGACGACCGGTGAATCTATGCTACGTGACCGACACGTCCTATCCCTCGGTTCTGAGTCCAATCTCAGCGTGGCAATGGACCTCGGGCAATGGACCAGACTACCTCCATGCCTTTTAAGGACAATCAAAAACATTAAAAATACAAACATCAGGCGGTATACAGTTAGTCCTGTATTTGTTATTAACTGTGGGACATGAGGTAAAACATGCACACGTAATAACATACGCGGAACCAAAAGAATACCCTATGCGTTAAAACGACTTGGGTCCTGGCACAAAAAGACAACGCCATTTAACAGGAACGACAATATTGCAATCAATGACCGCAACAGCGAGGAAAGACATGATGCTGCACGATACCCAGTACCCACTACAATGTGAGTGAAAAACTCGAACACCGACCCAGACATCGCTGACACCGTGGTCGGAACACTGGCCACCGCATCGCAACCAACATGGTCCTGCAGTTGGCCCCGGTTGGTGTCTGCTGTACGGTGACATTGGCGCCCATGGAAACACGAACGGCCCTGCCCATCAACATTGTGTCAAATCAACAAAAAGACTGTATGCACTAGGCGAGCCTGAGACTACAGCAAAGCTAGTCTTAGACAGCAGCGCTGTTTATCACATTGGTCGACTCCGCGTTTCCACGCATCGCCATATAACCATCAACTTGGCGTGTTCCCTTTCCCTAGTCCCCTGTTCATCTGAGTGGCGAAACGTAGTCTTCCAGGTCTGTGCCGGAGCCCAGCTGGATTTTGACGGAGCGCCCGCCGCCGGGCTCGGCCGCCCGGTCAGAGACGGTGACGAACACGGCACAGCCGGGAGTCAGCTTCTGCTGTTCGTGGGCCTCGGCCAGCTGGTTCACCACCTGAAGGCCGACACGGGGCAGTTTCAACGGGTTGGCCAGAACATGCCAGGATGGCGGGTATGCGAGATTCCGGCACGGCGCATATTGGTGGCCACATCCTACTAAACAATACCTTCAACAGTTTTTTTTCACAAATTCGAAGTTGTATTGGAAACTATCACTGCGGGTATTCCACTAAGTTGCAATCACATCAGCGACAACTGAACAAATGAGCTGCAGGAGGAACGTACTGTTTGGGTCGCTAAACAGCCATTTAACAAAACTATGAAGCAATGAATTCAGCAAACCAATCAAAGAATAAGGGACCACAAGAAAACGTATGTCCAGCACATCCCTTTTCGAGAATGATAAATGCTACAAGGGGGACTCAATGACTATAAAAGGACTCTATAAAAGGCAAGTTAATTATTATACACTTGTGTGAGCGTATTCAAAGATAAGTCCGAAAGGAGGCATCGAACAGTTTGACGTCTACACTGGCTTGCGTGTTCATGCCTATAACAAACATGCACTTATACATAGGAGTAATACATACATGGCAGCTCACCTGTCGCTCCACCTCGTGCTTGATCGACCTGGCGCCGTAGTAGACGTTGTAGCCATCCACCAGCACGTCCAGCACGCGCCGGTCCCACTTCAGCTCGATGTCGTGCTTCTTCTTGGCTCGGTCCGCCCAGAATTGCAGCTCGCGAGTGACTAGCTGACGCAGCTCAGGTCGCGAGAACGGAAGAAAATAGACCACCTCGTTGATGCGACCTAGGAACTCATCACGTAAAAAGTGACGCTTCAAGATCGGCTGCACCACAGAATCCTTGAAGCACCGCGAGATGTTGACACGTTCCGTGAACTCCACGTCGTCGATTTTGCCCTCGTAGCGTTCCCGTGCGAGCCGCTCGGCCTCGCGGCGCAGTTCCATGGCGTGGTCTGCGATCTCGTTACTGGCCAAGTTGGACGTCATGACAAAGATGGCGTCCTTGCATTCGATGGTGCGGCCCTTGCCGTCAGTGAGGCGGCCCTCGTCAAACAGCTGTAGCAGGACCGTCAAAACGTCGGCATGCGCCTTGTCAACTTCGTCAAATAGAACCACGGCGTTAGGGCAGCCGCGCAGTCGCTTGGTCAGCTGCCCGCCGTCATCATGTCCAATGTAGCCGGGAGGCGAGCCGATCAGCTTGGCTACCTCGTGCTTCTCCTGGTACTCGGACATGTCCAGCCTGATAAAACCCTTGTTGTTGTTTTTGTGGAGATATGCGGCTATCTGTTTAGCTAGCTCTGTTTTGCCGATACCGGACGAGCCGAGGAAGAGGAACACGAGCGGGTGTTCTTCGTCATACCACCCATTTTCTTTGCGGCGAATAGCGGACGCTACAGTGGCGATGGCACCGTCCTGGCCCACAATCTTCTCCTTGATGCGTTTCTCTAGCGGAAAGCGGCGCCGCTCTTCGGCTTCGCGGGCTTTCTGTTCGGCTTCTAGCTTCTGCTCTGCAATGGTCAACAATTGCCGCATTTCTTCATCTCTGGCGTAGTCGATCGGTGAATGCCCGCTGTCGTTGCGCGCGACCGGTGAGGCGCCAGCGCGCAGGAGGGCCGCCGCCACATCGTGCCGATCCATCAGCACGGCGTAGTGCAGCGGCGTGCATCCGCGGAACGACACGCGGTTGTTGAGCCGGTCGCTGAATTCGTCTTCGCGGCGTACTAATACGTTCAACGAGTTGATTCTCTTCTCGCGGGCGGTCGAGAAGACACTGCAGAATTCGTCGCCACTATCGACATGTGCGCCGACGTCGAGGAGCGCCTGGACCGCCTCCAGGTGACCGCGGACGGCAGCCACGTGCAGGGCCGTCCAGCCCAATGGGTGGCGCTGGTTCACGTCCTCGCCCGCCGCCACTAGCTGTCGGATCTCCTGCGCGTCACCAAAACGAGCTGCCATAAATAGTCTGGACTCGTCGTCCATAACTGCCCACACGCTGGCCAGAAGGCCGGTGGCCAGCACCGGTAGACGAGGCCAGCGGCCGGAGCGCTCTTTGCTGCTGGCGCCGGCGCAGCTGCCGATTGATTGTGGCGTATGTCGTCGGGCAGCCATCGGGGGGAGTTTTTGTGAGATACAGTCAGTACTTGTAGAGACGGTCGCAGGTAGTGGCGACCGTTGCATTAAATGTTGCAGAGGTTGAAGCTCAGAGATGGCTTCCAACGACCGCTGGTAGTGGCAGAACATCTTCCTAGAAACACTTCTCGAAGCTGCAAATAAGGAAAGTGGTAACAATTTATACAATCGCTAGCAACTTGCGATCCTTTGTTTCGTTTATGTGCTTGAATGTAACAAGTACAGCCAGCACAACCGCACAGTGAAACCGCGAGCCTCGAACATAAAATCACACATAACACATCAACGGGTCATAATGTATGGGTCGAACATGTGAACAGCAACAAACACTGTCAACGTGGAAAGTTCATTAGCACACAATTGAAAAAGCACACCTTAGTCTGTACAGCCTTGGTCTGTACTCTGTAGGTACGCTCAAAAGTATCAACGAGCTACAAACACGTAAAAAAAAAAGAACAAGAGCATTGCGTACCTACTTATTTCATCCTATCTCACATGTAGCTAAAGCCTTATTCCTATCTTTGAAGAGAGTCCCTATCTAAGATATGTAAACTCTGATATTTGGCAGCATAGACCTCAATACACTGTAAAGTAAACAGGAATCTATGTTAGAAACAGTTATGCTTAAAAAATAGACCTATAAATCAAGTTTTCATGGACTGTTTACTTTAGTGTTTCCCATCAAAGTAGATAGCAGGCACAGTTTGCCTATAAATTTTGAAATGGTAGCAAAAGTTGAACTACAATGATAGGTAGGTATATCGCAAAATCTAGTCTTAAATAACTTCAGTATTTCACACCAGATGCCAGTGCCCCCTTGTCCTGCTGGGCAATGCATGTGGCATTGCCACCATTCTGGTTAGCACCTGGTCCACTGGATATGAGCCTAACACAAACCAACCAACTGACCTCCCTGTCTAGCAGATGGTTCACAATCAGCTGATCCACAGCTCATATTGGCTGGTTGACTCTCCTTCCTGGGCCCTGTTTCACCGGTGATAGCAGCATGCTGGTATTACACGTGTCAATTTGGGTTTCCATGGAAACATC